TCGGAAGAGGAAGGGTTAACCGGTCGGGTTGGTGATTTTTCTCTGGTTTACAACATTTGGGGGGTTGAACTTGAAAATGGACCCCATTTCAGAAAACATGGAAAAATGTGTGTATGGGAATGAGATTTTTAAAAAGGAAGAATCTCAAAAGTTTTTTCAAATAGTATTTTCTTCTTCAAAAAAAAAAACACAGAAGAATTCTGCATTTTATCCGAACTTCTGAAATTCTTTCATTCAAAAAGACTGAATCTTTTACTCCCTTTCATATAAAAGTTTGAATCTTTTTGACCAATTTCACATAAATTCGACATCTTTTCTCCATCTCGTCAAATGCTATTTATCGCAACTTCTGAAATTTGCACTCAAAAAGCTTGAATCTTTTCGCCCAATTTCACGCAAAGTCGACAACTTTCAACAAATTTGGTGTAATGGGTACGTGTATATACGGATACATATACGTATACAGAGAGATAGAGAGAGAGAGAGAAGACATACACGATCTGGTAGAGGTTCCAGAGAACAGAGTAGGAGTGGTAAGCCTTGGAAGGGTCGAACCAGAGATAGATGCGTTGCTCTCTGTCTCCTTTGCCGCCGGTGAAGACATTAGTCTGCAGTATCGGAGGTTCTCCTGTTCTGTTCCCCAGAAACTCGAAGTCTATCTCATCGTGCTCGTTGTTCGTCGACGACAACTGTTATATTTTAATTTTATTTATATAGAAATAAATAAACCCATTTATAAAAAACAAAACTATGTGTATATATATATATATATAATGGTAGGATAATAACGGTGTGAATATAAAAAAATATTTTATTGTACCCGGGTTTTAAAATTCTACGTACATGATGAAATTATCTTGAAATATATTGATGTGGGCCCATATGAGATATTTGAAATTTTAAAAATCTGAACGTTTGAAAATTTTGAGACCGCCCTTTGACTTACGTAGAAGGCGGTGACGACGCCCGCTGTGTCACCCGGCGGGAGCTTTATTTTCATGCTGAAGTGGCCGAACAAGTAGGAGCCTTTCGATTGAAACCCTGTCCCTGTTTTTGGTTATTTAATTAAAAAAAAATATACGATAACGTTTCAGATTTCAGAAGACAAAAGAAATCCCCAAATAAATGTTTTTGGATTTTAATATTTTATAGAAAACAAAATCACATGATAGTATAAATGAGAATCTCGAGACATCATGGTGTATACGTGTATAAGTACCAATGATGAATATGGAGGTATGTTGTATGTGTGTATGTACCGGTGTAATTGTCGAGGACGAGTTGGGTTTCAGAGCCGCCATTGATGTACTTGATGTGGTCGAAAGCCCAGGTGGGTACGTAGTTACGACCAAAGGGAACGTTCACTGGTTTCCGTGGAGCAGCCGCCATTGACGTCGACGCCATTAGCAGCAGACCACTCAAGAAACATACAGGACTCCACGAAGAAGATGAAGAAGCCATAGCTCCTAGAGAGAGAGAGGGAGAGAGAGAGAGAGATGTGGAGATATGATGATGACGGTATGTTGTTTATATACAAGATTTTTTTTTTCTTTGGGACCTTTGGAGGAAAAAAAAAGTCTCTCCCTCTTTTTTTTTTTTCCAATGATTGAATTGAAGTTTCTCATTCGCCTAGGTTCTTTCTCTTCATTTTCCTCCGGTTTTAATTAGAACGGACCAATGGGATTATTTGATTTGATATGTATTTATTTATTGTATTGAAATTGATATGTATTGTATTTAAAAAAAATATGTGTACTTTCACTTTAAAATTTTGGTCTTTTATAGAATAAAACAAAAATATTCACTTTTAAAATATTTGCACTTTCACTTTTAAATTTTGATTCCATTGTTTGAATATAATTTGTACAGCTTTTTCCGCATGGTAATTTTTAATTTTGAAAATAAACCCATATTTTTAATGATATTAGAGAAATAATAACTCGAATACTTTACTACTATACAAGCATCATATTATATCACGGACAAATAATATCCAACATAACAATGTATTATGCATGTGTTTTTCTGTGTCTTTAATTGATGATCATAAGCCACGTACCCTCTGTTTACAATTAAAAAAAAAAAAGTTATATATTTTTTTATTTCAATATTTATTTGTTTTTTTATTACAATACTCTTTATTGTCAGAGCAAATTGCCACTTTTGACTGTTGGCCCTCTCCGCCATTTATGGGCCAAAAGGTCTGACAGATAATATTATACATTAACGTTATACTATAGTTATAAATCTAGCTTTATCCAAGGGATTGATTACCCTTCTGAAAACAATTATTTAATGTGTAACGAAATGAAAGTCTAAGCTAATGAAAAATGTCAAAGAATGCTTTTAGAATATGAATATATATATATATATTCCTGGAAAACTTTTCTCTGTATAAAAATTCACTAATTTTTTTTTCAAATAAGTACCTTTACTTCAATATATATTTAAGGTGTATTTGTAAATTCTACATCCACAATAATATTTTAACGAAGTTAAAAAAAAAATTGTAAAATAAAACGAGACATTTATTTTTCTGCATGTTTTCCTCCGTGAGACATTATAAATATACCAAAAAACAAATCTCTGTGACTTTTATAAAACATAGATAGACCTTGACTTAGGAGTGTTTATAGATGGGGTCTTATCGGATTCAAGAGAAAGACAAAAATATATTTTATAATTTATTTCTTTTTATTCTTTTACAAAATAAATGGACATAAATATTTGAAGTTCGCTTCAAATCGCCATTAACAACAATAACATAGTCTTAATCTCGAATTTATCTAACATCGACCGAATTCATCAACTCATCTCCATATTGGATTTTGATTTTTCTCAAATTTATTACAACTTCAAAATCATTGTTAACCACTCGTTCTAAATCTAGGTCCACTTCTATATTATTATTTGTTTTCACTAGTTCTCCATTCTTGTCATTGATAACAAAATAGAAAAGAAAACAATTTTAAATTCAATAAATACTTTTAATTAAAATGTTTCTGAAAAAACATGGATATATATTATATGTTATGAAAATTTCAAAGAAATCACGTTTGGGTTTGTATGTGAGAAACTATTTTATTTTATTAAAATTTAATAACTGAAAGAAAATTTTTTATTTTATATAATTTTAAAAGAAGAAGAAGAATAAATAAAGTGGGGGAAGAAAACAGCTGAGGATGAGCTTTTGATAAGTAACATGGGGGAGAAAGAGATCACATGGGCTTTGGCATGTGGATTTTGTCTCCAACACTCTCAACCTCACCACATGCTTCGTTCCTAATTTATTAGAGTTCTGTTAATATATAAAAGAAAATTCATGTAATCTTCAACGTTAAATGGTGTTTAGAGGATCTATAAATCATTGGGTCCCGTTCCGTCTGATTTTAAGAATTTTTCGTTTTAATTTTCTATCAAGATTGAAAATAGCAATAAAACTAAACCCAAAATTATTAAACTCAACTTAAACTGGTTATAACGAACCAGTTTAAGTTGAAAATAAACGATAATATATATTAAGCAAATTTGTTATAACAGACCAGGTGTATATATTTGTCTTTTTATATATAAGTTTACATGAATCCAGCTGTGGCTGATTTCGTTTGTTGATTTTGTCCGAATCCTTTGTGTTATATTTTGGTTGTATTTTGTATATATATATATATATATATATATATATATCTTTGAATTAAATTTATGTTATCCATTATTTATCTCCCATTTCAGGTTCCATGCAAAGCTTGTCGGCTTCATGTTTGTATTTTCCTCTGGTAGTTTTTGCAATGCATGCACAAGTACCACCGGAGAGGTATGGCCCTCTGGCATTGCATACTTACATCTGTGTATATACGTATGTGTTTGTATTTGAAGGATAATTTAATAAAAATATGCATATTATTTATCTTAACCATTTACTTTTTTATTAAGTTAAAAATAAATATTGTTGGATAATACGATATAAATTTGATTTATATAAAAAAAATTAAAATTCAAATGAAAGATTCCCCAACGTATCGAAAGTGGCGAGACGTGACTGTTCAGCATTTGCGGTGCGTGGGATTATGGGAAGATAAAATAAATAAATTAATTAATTAAATAAAATAAATGAGTGCATGATTACGGGAAGAGAAATTATACCATGGAGCATGGACCGACCATCCATTAGAGAGACCACACATGCATAATTAATCAAAAAGCGTAATTTGCCTGCACTAACAACTAATCAGTTACTTAATGCAAACTCAAATAATTACTACATCACAATACTATCAAATGCATAAATTATTTTTAGATTGCAAATTTTTTAAATGTATTTCATGGTTTTATATTTAAGGAAAAATCTCGTATCGAACGTTCAGCTTTGCCCCCCAAAAAATTGTATATAATACTGAAAATTTAAAATCACATAAAGTAATATAAAATTACAATAAAATTTTAGAACAAAAATTCTATATTACTACTTTAACCATCAAAATTTTAACAAATACCAACCGACCCCAAAACTATATTAAATTACCGCCATATATGTTTTCATTTTCATTTTATTTTTATTATTTTATGAAAAGGGCCCAATAACAACCAAGAAGCCCAGGAAAATAATTTCAAAGGCCCAATAACAGGCAGATATGAGATGCGTGCCACGTGGCAGGTCCAAATCCACCGAGAGAACCCTCGACCAAGAAACAGAAAATGTAATTGGACTAACCAGAATATCAATGAAGATAACCTTATCTACCAATTCAAGCCAACAGCCTGCCACGTCGGACTCACATCCCCTCCCTCCATATCTCCCCAAAATTCTTACACCTCTCCTCTCAACTCTCTCCCATTTCCTCACCAAAAGACGAGACGACAAGCAAAAGAGAGAGAGAACCTGTAAGGCAAGGAAACAATGGCTTCTTCCACTTCGGCTGTGTCACTGATGATGCCGTCACTTCCCCAAACCCGCACCACCACCGTCGCCTTCCTCAAGCCGTTGCCGGCAAGGCTCTCGAAGGCAGCGGCGGGGGGGCCAGCATCCTCCGGCGGTGCGCGTAGGCTTCAAGTGAGGGCTTCGAAGCTCAAGATCGAGAAGGCGGTGACGGGTCTCACGGCGGCGGCCCTGACGGCATCCATGGTGATCCCGGAGGTGGCCGAGGCCGCCGGACCCGGCGTCTCTCCTTCCCTAAAGAACTTCTTGCTTAGCATCGCCGCCGGAGGCGTTGTGGTCACAGCCATCATCGTCGCCTTCCTCAAGCCGTTGCCGGCAAGGCTCTCGAAGGCAGCGGCGGTGGCTCCAGCATCCTCCGGCGGTGCGCGTAGGCTTCAAGTGAGGGCTTCGAAGCTCAAGATCGAGAAGGCGGTGACGGGTCTCACGGCGGCGGCCCTGACGGCATCCATGGTGATCCCGGAGGTGGCCGAGGCCGCCGGACCCGGCGTCTCTCCTTCCCTAAAGAACTTCTTGCTTAGCATCGCCGCCGGAGGCGTTGTGGTCACCGCCATCATCGGAGCCATTGTCGGTGTCTCCAACTTCGATCCTGTCAAGAGAAGCTAAGATACCGAAGCGCAGAGAGATTTACCTTTGTTGTCTCTGTCTTCAATATTCTTCGCTTGTGTATCCATTTTTAATGTTTCAGTAATGAACTCTGTGTTCTGTCTCATGTAGTTTCCCTCCGAAGCCTCCCTCTATTCCTGCATTCTTGGAACCGAAAGCCCATCCGCATAGATACAAAACAGAAAACGAAGAAATAGGAATCCGGAATTCGAATTCATTGAAATTAAAATACCAACGTAACAGATTCTTCTCATCATACTAATGACTCGTTCAACCTAATTGATTATCCAAGACGACAATAAATCGAAGGTGGAGATTCGCGTATCAGAGCTGCTCCCTAACTATGTAACCTCGAGAGCGATTCGAGCAAGTGTTTACTTTCGGACGAGTAATTCACCTCGTCCACCTTGACGACCGTGATCTTCACTCTTTGTTCGTCGCCATACATCTCCTCTTTGATCTTGAGCCTGAAGAGGTACTCACGAAAGAGTCTGCCTCGAACAATCTCCGAGAAATTTGTATCGTCCTGTAGTTCGTATTTCAAATTGTATAGCTGTTTGGCCGGACATCCCATGATTTCTTCACCGGCTTCCTGAAACGCTGTAACCCAGGTCAAACCCGTGTGGTCTTGGATCTGCACCTGAAGAAGATATCTGTATTCACATTCGTCCATCTCTTTATTGCACCGGTCACATAGCCACCTGTTTTGTCCTGTCCGTGTTACCTTCTTGTTGCATTGTCTATCTCCGATCATCAATGGGCAAGCTGTGTAACAGAAATTATCGGTTTTGATGAACGTAATGGTCGCTTTCACTGTGACCCAGTCTGGCTTATCTGATCTCCCGAGACCTTCATCTTTGATCTGAGACACAGTTTTGCGTATCTCGTTCTTGGGAGCCCCAGAAATACCGTCTCTAGAGATGGACATGGAGGCAGCATCCTTTCCCCCTCGATCAAACCAATCTCTCAATCTACGAGCTTCTGGAAAATCGGGATTTATAAAGAGCTGGGTTGAAGATATTGTCCCAATTGACTTCCCGCTGAAGTCGCTCACTTTTCCAGCTTTGACTGCTAAAACTGGGTAAAAGCCAGAGTCGACCATGTCTTCAAGTTCTCGACCATCTCTGTTGCAGAAATCCCCCCATAGTGTAAGCTCTACAGTCTTGCCAGATTCGTCCTTCAGATTTAGGATTCTTCTTTGGGTTTCCATCCCATTCTTCCTCAATATCGGGACCGAGGGATTCACAGAAGTTACAACCCCAATGACATCAAATATGGAATTGTTCTCAGCGTTCTCGATGTCGCTTATGGGTCGGAAGGAGAACTGCTGTCTTGGTATGGAGCCATCTTCGTCAGGGCAAAGATCCACAGTCGAGGTTGACTCCAAGAAAATCTCCCAATCATTCTTCAAGGGGTTGAAATTTTTCTTAGCAGGCTTCAAGCTTCCCTTTGAAATCAAGTACACCTTGCCGACCTCGATAACATCATAGAAGCGGTCAACAACAGCATTGAAACAGGTAACACGTATCTCCCCTCCATCAGAATCAAGCAGGTCAAAGGAGAAAACCTTCCCATCTCCCCGGGCATTGTTGTATCGCCTGATCTCTCCTTTCGCTGTTACTCTAGCCTTAATAGCCCACCGACCTTGGTATGGATTGAGAGCAGCAATAGGAATGATTCGAGCTGGAGCCTCATTCTTCATTATTGCTCCATGATTTCTGTAGTTTGGAGGTGGTTGATATGCAGGTTGAACAGATGGCCGGAAATTCGGGGCGCTGTTGGCTTGATTTTGAATTACACCCCTGGGTGGTGCTTTATTAACAGGATTCTGAAAATCCGATTCATTAGAAACCACTCTATTTGGCGGTTGTAAATTGCCAAGAACTGATGATGGTTTTTGAGCCCCTGGTTCTGATTCTGTTGATGTTTTGGGGTTTCCGATAATTTCACAATCAGGTATTATAGTCTCCATGTTGAGCACCACAATAATCCTGCACATAGGGGACATAGAAGATGTAAGGCAATCTCATTCAGATAGACCGGAGAACTCTGGCCAATGTGCCATTACCAACCCAAGCAAATGTGTAACTATCTCTCGTAAACAAACACAACCATGGCCACATCCGCAGACAACATCTAGAAACATTCACACAGCTGTGGAAGTCATTAAAAAATTTCATCCAACCAAGGTGCTTGTAAATAATATGAGTTACAAAGACAACAGCACAAAACATAGACCAATAGCAAACTTTTAGCCAAATCATTCATCGATATCAAATATGGCAACCACAATCCCCGTGAATTCAAAATCACGACATAGACAAGCAATGAGAATCATGGAAACAGACCATGACACGTGAAAGATATGATCTACAAAATCAACTTGAACGAAAAGCTACTGTTACTTTTGCGGGTTCATTTTAGCAATAGCCTATCACAGGCAAACCAAGCATGAAAGAATGCTTGAGAGTCTTGTTCCAGAATAGGAACACCTGCGAAGTGCACATGATACGAATTACACGAATTACTCAACAGAAATTCAAATACCGGAAAAACTCGGACAATAAATCGAAATTCAACACACATTTCACCAGATTAACCACAAGCCAAGCAATCAATCAACGAAACACGATTCAACGACGCAATTCGAAAGTCAAATACCGTGAGAAACGTACTTGCGGCCTTGAACGGCGCTGCAGATGTAATCAATGAGCTGAATGACGGAGCCCTTCTTAACCTGACCAGTCTTGACTCGGTCGTTGAGCTGAGTCGCGAGCATCGCGTGCTGAGCCGAGACGCCATCGGAGATGAGGAAACGGAACCTCTCCTGGTTCTTCGTCATTTCCTGTCTCTCCCGGTTGCTTCCGATCAGCTTGATATCTAGAACCTGAACCAGAGGCCTCGAGTTCACGTCGCCGGCGTTTATCGCCGAGATGGCGTTCGGAGTCAAGTTCACCGGCATGGATTCCGATCGGGAGATCCGACGAGGAGACAAAACCCTAGAAATGGAGATCGGGAAGCCGAAACGAAAAAGGAGAAGTACTACGGAGAGAAATAGAAGACGCAAGTGGATATGGTGGTGACGAGAGAATTCACAAAGGAAGATTGAGGCGGAATCTTGCGGGAGAAACTATAGAGACACGCGAGTTTCCAATCTCATATCTGGACGGTGACTTACTTTTTTCCTTCGACTGAAATTTTTTGTCACCGCTAATTACCATTATACCCTTGCAGTGAAGCTTCCTGTAAAAGCTTGAAGCAGCCTCTTTTATCTTTAATTATTTTGTCAAGAACACAACAAATTCACTGCTAAACAAAATCTTGATCTTGAATGTTTATAACACAAATCCGACAAGTCAATTACAAAGACCAAAAGCCTAAACCCATCAAGTAATCGATTAAGAACCCAAAAAAGGATGATTGCAAGAGAGATTCAAACATTTTTAAGCCATAACAGGGATCTCGGTCTCGGGTACTGGAACTGCAACGGGTTGGTGAACGACCTGAACAGGAACATGGGCGGGTCCTTCCTCATCCTTGGGAGCATGTATAGTGACCTGGTCGGGAAGTGGCGTCTTGGGCCCATGCTTGCCCTTAGGGTCCCAATCCAACATGATCTTGACCTTGATACCAAGAACACCCTAAACACAATCACACCATTACAATGATTCAGAGACTTTGATACCTGAAAACGTGAGATGGATAATTGAAAAGAGAAAATGAAGAACCTGTCTCAAGAGGACGTGTCTGACTGCCGAGTCAATGTATTCTTTGCATGGCTGACCTGAGGAGATCATATACCCGTCCTTGAATTTCATCGATTTTGCACGCTGAGCCCTAAGCTTTCCACTGACAATCACCTGTTACAGCAAAGCTGGACTTCAGAAAGAGAACACCACAAAAGGGTATATGATGGAACTTGAAGAATGAATACAGTCGGGGAGAAATTCGAATGCAAACCTCACAACCCTTGGCTCCGCTCTCCATGACAAATCTCAAGACACCATAGCAAGCCCTAAAACAAGATGGAAGGATGAATTAAAATGAACCAGACTGATACTAGTCCTTATAATGAGGTTGAATGGTAAATAATACTCGAGATATACAACTTCCAATCATGAAAAACCAGAGGAACATTCAGGCAAACAAAAACAATGACATGACAAGTAACTTTCTATGGCTTAGAATTGTAACCTGCAAACAAGAAATACATTTATCAAATCAAATAGTGTGCCCTCCATAGCATCTGTATGAAAATAAAGACTTCCACGAGGATGATGGTATGGAGGAGCTTATATCAATATCATCATCTTCCGACACAAAATCAGTACAGCAGGAACCTATTTGCTTTAAAGATGATACAACAATGAATCTCCCAAAATGCATAAAGCCAAACACCTGAAGATAGGGATGTCAAATGGGTTGGGTTAAATGGGTTGGGTTCCAACCAAATGGGTTGGATTACCCATTGTGACAACCCTACCTGAAGATATTGGCTTGAAGCACAAAGGGAACATTCAAGATGGATATATTAGTCCTGATTACATGGACATCAAAGATACGCATTTACCATTATGTTAAAAGGAGTGCATAAACAAGTCTACCGAGTTAAACTGTGTCCCCTCCATGGAGCTACTGCATGAAAGAGCATGCTCACACAATAATCATGTCATGGGGGAGCTTATACTAATGTTGTCACCTTCCGACACAAAACTGGTACAGAATAGCCTATTTTGCTTTTTAGATGACCCAACATATGATCTTCATAACTAAAACCATACATAAATTTCGTAACTTGAGAGCATAACAAGAAGCTGATAAGCACAAAAGCAGCAAACATACTGTACCTACGAACAGCAAGACCACCCAAGAGCTTGTAGCGGAGAGACTCAGCCTGGGCAATGGCACAGAGACCTCTGTTGTTAACCTTCTCAGCATAAAGCTCAACACTGTCCTGAGGGAATCTGAATCTCTTTTGAACAAGTGATGTCAGTTCCCTAATCCTCCTTCCCTTCTCACCTAAATCCCACAAACCCAACAATCGAAATAGAGAATCACTCCAAGGGATCTCCAGAAATCGACACACACATAAAATTCGAATCAACTAATGAATCGTGGATACTTCTATATTGCATTCAAAGCTAAAGATCTCGTACGGAGAACAGATTCAGGACAATGTAAATGAATTCTACGACATACCCAGAACATTTTGGGTACGAGTGGCTCTGATGATGATCTCAGTACGCATGGGAGTGACTCTGACCTCCACACCGGAGTAGCCATCTTCAGCGAGCTCTCTGGTCAGAACCTCGTTGAGCTCGGCGAAGAAAACTCCGTCAGCGACGAACTACAAAACACCAAACCCACCAAAAACAGACGAAGAAAAAATAAGAATCGAATATCTTTCCCAAAACGTTGAATCCAGAGAGGCCCAACAATAAGTGAATGAATGAACCACCTTCCTCTTTTTGCTGATCTGAGTTGCCATGGGTTAGGGCTTTAGAGACCTCGGTCGACGACGCTAATGGAAGCAGCACCAGCAGCAGTTAGGGATTGAGAGAGAAAACAAGACGTATATATTCTGCCCAGGAATTAGGGTTGGCGATGTTTGGCAACGGGTGTGAGTCTATCCCTCGTGACGAAAGATAAATGCCATGTTTTGAGCTTAATCTGTTGTAAAAGGCCCATCTATATTTGGGTTTGTTGTGATATTATCCTTAATGGGCTTCCTAATGAGCCATATGTATAAAAAATTAGGCACATTTTGTAAAATTTTAAAAATAAGAAATATTAATGTTGTAAGATTGTTTTGGTTAAAATAAATAATTGAATATATTTTTTTATGATTTGATAGATTTTTGATTGAATTAGACATATATCTGACATTAGATTAATATCTTTAAATATATGAACTCGTATTTATGAATTCCAAACATCTAAGTCTCGGTTACAAAAAAAAGTATTCCGTTAAACTTGATTTACGAATAATATCCACATTTACCAATCTTGCATAAAACTCTTGTTTCTTAAAATCAAAAACCACAAAAACTAAATATCCACTTGAATTTATTGGTTCATTCTTCTCCGTTAGTCCTTTTCATTTCATATTATTGCATGGTATACAAATATTTGTATTTGACTAATGTATATGATTTTGTAAAGTTTCATGTACTTTGCACTCAAATTTTGTAAGTATTTTATTTTGAGGTTGGACTGATATTCTAAAATTCAATTTGGTTATTTTTCAGTTCAGAAATTATATCTATCTAATTTTTATATATTTTCTTTTTTTTTCTTTTTTGTATGGAAAAGTAATTAACATCTAAAAATTTGATTTCGATATTGTAATGTTTATTAAAATTTGATTCATATCTAATTAATTCAAAACAATCGTATAAAATTTATTTTAAAATCAAAATTGTATTCAAATATAATTATATGTTATTTGAAAGCTACTTTTTTCTTGTTTAAACTTTACCATATTTTTTCCAAAAAGATATATTATTTTTACTTTTTTCTTTTAAGTTGTCATATATTATCTAAAATTAATACACAAATAGAAATGGGTAGCTTTCCGCCCTAGTGATTGGGAGTGGTCGGAACTAAAGACTAGAGAGATAGAGAACTATAAAAAGGCAAAGATTCCGATTTCACATGCTATGTTTTTTTCTGTGTATTTTGTAATTTGTATTATTATTATTATTATTATTATTATTATTATTATTATTATTATTATTATTATTATTATTATTATTAAAGATGGACACTTCTGCAAAAAAAAAAACATTTTATTAAAGATAAAACTTCGTGAAACATTTATTTAATTGAGATTTGAGATAATGGGCATGAACCTAAACAGTTCACGACGAATTCAACAAAGACACTTCTACTATTCTACTTTTCCCCCTCATTTTTCTATTTCTTCTACATTTACCCACAGTAAAAAATAAATGAGCAGAATAGACCCTGAAATCAAACGGGCCTGATTCTCTTGTGTCCTGATCTGCAGCCTGCGCTAGAATCTCCCTCAGATGAAGCGTCGGCGAAGTTGCTCGAGAGATGGGTGTAAAGATCGGCAACTCTCCTCATGTTGTTGTTGAGTTCTCGGATCAGACCGACATTCCTTCCTAAGTTGTCGGGGATATTGGATTCGTGATTCTGGTTAATCTCGTTTATCAGTAGCCTGTTCTGATCCAAAATGTCCTGAACTTGGACAAAGCTCTTCTGGAATGTCTGAAGAATCTTGCCATCAATATGATGAGCTGATCCATCATTGAACATGCCGCCACTCTCCATGTATTTATACGTATCTCCGTGATGAGAAACACTGTTATTTTATGGTGAAATTAGAGCATATGATATAAATTTACAAACCTATCAAATGTATATATATAATGAAGCTTATGTGATGATACAAAATAAAAGAAATATCACAAGGGCGCAAATTTAAATTAACCAGACAAAGATTTGCTGTTGTAGATAATCATCATCACATTTCGTGATTTTTATTTTCATTTTAAAAAATCATTCTCCAAAAAAAAAAAAGGCGGAACCAATGATACAGACCAATATCATCACTTTATCTAAAATCCATATATACGTACTTGTATTATTTTTTATTTTATAATGTTGGTTTATAATAACTAGTTATGTAATAAGATCTATGATGTGATTCCATGTGCAGACAAAGAAAATGCGTAGAGTATTCCCACATAAAGGAACCCTTTCTCAGTAAAATTCTCACCAAAGAGAATTACTTTCTGCTCGTCGTAATATATGTATGTATATATATACTGTTAAATTTTAATTATTTAAGTTCATTTATGTAAAATTAATAGAAATAAACTAGGGGAACCGTTTGACAAATATAGTTTAAATACTTGGGATAAAAAAGAAAATATAAGATGCAAAAAAAGGTCGATTAATTTATATTTTTTCTTTTAATATTATGCTTTAGACAAGAATCTGAAGACCAAAAATTAGCAGTCAAAGATATGCAGAGAAGCTGAGCCATTTGTGGGTTCTCTGCTACTTCATCACACTAACCTCGTCACTGCTCTCAACCATGAAAAAACCATCACTTTTCTTTTTCTTTTTTCTTTTTTACAAAAAATGCAATAAATACAACACACACATATATATATATAGCATGTATATGAGTACAGTATATATCTATTTAAATGTCAGATGGTGATCCGGAAACTCATGCTATTGTGTTCATCCAAAACCTTATTTATTACTTATTTAATATTGTGATAAAATTGTCCAAATTCACATTTTTATGAAAAGAAGAAAAAAAAAAAAGAGGAAGGATGGCTGAGAACAAATCAATGAATTCCCACAAATAAATAAAAAATTAACAAAAATATAATCTCTAAGAAACCTTTCCAGATTAAATTCCAATAAATGACGAAAAATTACGATACCTGGAAAAATAATATCTCAGAACATTTATACTCTGTGTGTGCGTGTGAGAGAGAGACAGGGAGACGCTGAGATTTCCAGAGGAAGGAGAGACAGAAGATCGCCGATCGTACGGACCAAACTGAATCTCGTCGACAAAAGTTTCTGCTTTTTTTTTCTCTCTCTCTCTCTCTCTGATTTTATTTTCTCGGAAACTCTGCGATAGAGAGAGAGAGAGGAGAGAGAACAAAGAGATTTGACAGTCACGCAAAATAGGACCCTCGAACTCAGAGAGTGTCTTAAAGATGGAGATTATATTATATATATATATATATATATATCCAGAGCCTCTTCTCGTTTTTATTTAGATTCTTAACTTTATACTATTTTTATTTTATTTTATTTATCTTCGTTTTCGTTTGTGTATATTTAGAGTGGTCTTTCAATTCAGGATATAACGATCCAACTTAGTCTATTAATATAATCACATTAAATTGTAATTTAAATACTAATCAAAATAAATTAAATATAGACATACTGGAAGATCAAATCAAATAAGAATATTTTTATATTTATGAGAAATATATCTGAAAACAAAATTAAAAAATCTGACCAAAAAATTCAATGGAAATATTTTTAAAAACAAACAAAATTAAATCAGATCAAAATCTGAAACACATATCGTGTATATTAATTACGATTTCAACTTTTTTTTTATATGTTGAGATAGTTCTGCGATAAAAACACGATTATTTTCGACAGCCACACATTTAATTTACTAATTTTAAAATTGTAATCACACATTACAAAATTTCGTTTGATTAAAAAAATAACCCATCATTTTGAACATCCGTTAAATACAACCATTTCTTCATATATTAAAATATTTAAGGCCTGGTGGTTGAAGAGCTATTTAGATGGATTATATATGCTGTGACTTTTTGTTCTAAATAAATACATTGTTATTTTTTTTTTAGCAATATGTATTGTTTTATTTGTTTACGTGTGGAATATTTTATCATCAACGTTGCCATATGTTTAATGTAATTTATTAATAAAGTTAGGCTGATAATATAAGTTAAGTTGTGCAAAAATATATCTAATCAATTTAAAAATCTATTAAAAATAGTTTTAAAGTTAAAATGATACTTGACGAAACTAAATGGACTTGAACGAAAACAAAAAATTGGGAAAAATAAAAATGAAGTATATACAATTTGAATCAAATTAAAATTCGTATAAAATAAGTATACTTAAAAAAACAAGATATCTAAAAAAATTAATCGAGATCCTAAATATTTATCATAATAACTGCCGACAAATCTAAAGGTGAGAATCCAATAACGCAATACACCACATGTAACTTATAAATCTCTCTCTTTGTAATAATCACATAAAGATTAAATATTTATCATGGAAGAAATATAGACAACATTGTAAAAATATCAATAAAAAATATCAAAATTCCAAATATAGAAAAGGAGAATAAACAAGAAAGTCTAAATTGAAAATCTCTAATTTCACTTGGGTTACGATATTATTTAACATCTATATATATAATTCGAAACGAATATATAAATTAATAAATTATAATCTTATTCAGTCGAATTGAATAAATGAGTAGAATAAAAAATTTATTTAACTTATAACAACAATATCGCTTCATTCTTAAATTCATTTAGAATCAATCGCATGAATCATTCTTTTCCATTTATTTCGATCTCGGATTAACTCTTTTAAAATCTAAAAAAATTTATTTAACATAATTTTTAATAATTCTAAGTAAAATTGTTCAACTAGGTAATATTTCATTTGGAAAATAATGTAAATATAACTTTTTAAATTAGTTATAACAAAATAAATAAAATCAAAAGCAAAATTGAAAATGCTGCCTGGGTAAATAGATTAAAAAGGTGAAGCATGTTCAATAAATATGAAAAAATCTGAAACTGGAGATGGGGTCCACACATCATCGTTGGATAACGTGTCTTTGGAGGTGTAATCCCCTGCGCTTCGCCCTTCGAAGAATTAACAAGTAAACCACATAAGCGACGAGCGTGTGGGCACGTGCTTCTTACGCCACTGGTGATACGTGTCAATATATGAGTGGACTAGAATAGTTGTTCACAAGATTTTATTGTTGCATATTTTGTCTCCCATGCTCGACGACAGAACGGAGAGCATTTCTTTATTTATTACTAATCTCATTATATTTTCTGAGTTTAATTTAATTTAATTGTATATTACTATATAATCAATTAAAATAAACGTATCTAAATTTTATCGTCTATAAAAATGAATTACATATACAGCCAATAAGATTTTTATAATTTAACCATAATAAAATGAAATATTTTTTTTAAAATCGCAATTATTAAAATACAACTACAAAATTACGTAAATAAGCAAAAAATATGAACAATGTTTTAAAATTGGCAATGAAGTGAAAAAAAATTGCTTTAAAATAAATAACAAATATCACAAGGAAATTAGACATTTTTCTTCTTTGTTGTTTCTTGAGTTCATATATATAACTTATAACTTGGTAAAATTTGTAACATTCCGACAGCAGATACATTTTACATACAAAAATATATATATTTTAACATCTTCTAGTAAATTAATAACATCATATCCTTTTCATTCATGCTTTTTTAGAAGTATAATTCTAATATATATATATATATATAAACAATATTTAGCTTTCGGCTAAAACTTTAAAGATCGTTATCCCAATCCACAAGTTTGTCCAATTGGAACCTGACAGATATATTTTATAATATTTGTATTGATGCACCAATATGCGCATTCGTACATGTTTTTATTAGAGAAATTATTATGATATGAAATGTTTTTAGGATATAAGTTATATATATAAGTTCACATAATTTCCATTGTAATGACCGTCGTTGATATATCTAGAAATCAGATATGGAAACGATATATGTGAAAATAATCTCTCAACACCGCAACATACGAGTCGACCATATAATTGAACAACTATAGTAATATTATCTAAAATTCAATACATTGATTTGATGTTGAATTCATAGGTAACATTGCTATTGTTTTCTTTCCACGATTTTTGGTGGAGTGTTTTTATTAGGCTTTGGTGTTGCCATGCTCACATTTACATTTAACAAAGATTCCAGTCCAGGGGCATTTCCGTATTTTGCTCCAACTGTGAAAGTGAGACAATTTTGCAAAACTTTATCCATATGTAGATTGGAATAAATTACAAATGTTGCAAAACTTTAGGAAAATACAAAAAAAAAAGCAATTTATAATATATAATGAAAAAATAGAAAAATGTGATAAGATGTATATTTGCTAATACTCCTAAAATAATCATCTATTAAAATCCTCAATGTTCTAAAAATATGTAATTAGGACCTTGATAATGTAAGTTATAAATCCGAATAATTTTTCTTATAATTGAAATTTCAATTTGATATTTTATTAATCCATCCAACCCAAGTAAATAAGACAACATTTTTCTACGATATTTTACTTAAAGTTTTCTAAATCTGTTTTAATTTAATCAAAATCTTGAACATTTTTTTTGTTACAATGCATTCTGTTTTTTTTTTTTTCAAAGGTCAAAATTGTATACACTCATGGTTATTTGTGGAGACAGTCTTCTCAAGTGTAAGCTGGATTTGTCTTTAAGCCAATTGGGGAAGATCTTAAACAGGACTTAAAGAGCATCTGCAATAACAGAGCTTTGGTCCTTTGGATGATACAACTTGAACAATGGCTATGGTCCTTCAATCCCATTTTCCTGTAACCCTCAGATGTTGAACTTATGTCTTGCAATGTTTTTTTGTCTTGTCCGATCCATTACAACAGGAAAATCTGATAGATCAAATTGTTGCAAGAATGGCTTACAATAACCGAGTGATACCCAGTTTCGGGATCGAGACAAAACAGCCAAAACCCGAGAAAAGCTTTGTTTTTTTCCTTCCCGAACGAACGGAATGGAAGCACAGAAAAGCAAGAAATCTCATGTATTAGTTTCTCATAGCTTGAACCGAGGCGATCAAATGAGCCACGATGAAGGCGTACTGCACGGCTGTATGCTGAGGTGAGTAATTGTCTGAGAGACCAAACTCTCCAAAGTTAGGTGCTATGTGCATGAAATAACCCGGCAGCGATCTCTTGGACAATGCTTCTTGGCATATCTCCAAGAACTCATACATCACTTGCTTCGCTTTCTCCATTGAAGATAACGGGAGATACTCCACCTGCAAGAATATGGGTTTGAGCTTTTATCAGAATCTAGAATCACCCTAAACTTGAGAATGTTGTAATTTAGAATATAAGAGATCTGGTTTATAAGCCAATCTAGACAGTGTTTTTGATGCATGAGACAAGGATTCCATCTTTAGTAAGTATCGGAATGGAAACATCGTTCTTCATGGATCTCAGACAGACAAAAAGAAATCGAGATAAGGTGGAATCATGTGACAAATCTAAAACCATATGGTAAACGCTATTATTGGGCAAGACCTAGGTCATTGTTCATGTACAAGATCACTCCCAACTCGACAAACTCGGACAGATGATTCTTTTTTTTACTCCTGAGTCGAGTAAACTAAACGAGGAGCACCCATAAAGCTTAACATGCAGAGAGATTAGACAATCATAAGAGGCATGCTTATTAGCTTGGCCTGAGGCTAAAACCTCCAAGACAAGACCCTTTAAAACCATAAAACTTGGATACTCATTTCTAACTGTGTCTGCAGTTGCCATAATAAGCTGAGAACACAATGAGAACCCAGAATCTTGATTACCATAAACACCATGGAAACATAATAAAAACTCCTTAAGAGGCACAGGAGAAGTAAAGCCACCTCCATGACTATTCCTCTCAGGTTCTCGGAATTGATCGGCACGACTTTGCCCACTCTCAATCGAAAATCGCCCAACTGGTACTGAGAACCCTGCATTGCCCACCAACACAAATACCACTTCGATCAACAATGCCGAACGTATCTTTCCAGAGAAGCTTAAGCTTGAAACCATGGAGTAAAACCATCTATAAGTTCGACCAAAACCTCGAAGTAAAGGGTAACCCTGGATTTGTAAGACTGCAACTTCTCCATTATCATCTGAATCGAAGCATCAGCCTCGAGAATGATCCTTTGCGTACTGATTATGAAATAGTACTTACTCGGCTGCTCTGCTAACGAAATCCCCAGAAAATCGCGCGGTAACTCGTAAGCCGCTGCCTGGTCTGCTTGAAAGATTCAATCTATTAGAACTCAAGACATCGGAAATCAAAGCTAACCCAGAAAAAGGGGAAGATGAACGAGAAGTAAACCCTCATCAAGGATCGAGACAAAGAGAAATCGAAATGGAGAACCTCGTACGATGGGCTTGTAGTAGTTGAGAGTGGCTTTCCATCTTCCTTCTCTGACGCCATTGATGCTCTCGAGGCACTGCGTAACCTCGTTGAGGATCTGGGTGCTCACAGTCGACCCTTGATTGGGTTGCCAATGCAAAACCCTAGAAACCCCAGAAAAGGTTAGGAACAACAAGAACACACGATTTACAACGAAACCCTAGATTCATCTTCATAAATTAAGCAACTTTTCGTTCAATCCCTGCCCTTTCTTGTTCATCTTCTCATACCATTTGATGGGCATTGCTCCTCGGAAGAAAATGATGGATCTCGGACTTTTCCAGGAGCGTCGGAATGATTCTCACTCCTGACCGCTTCAATTTCCTTTTACTTCTCCACCTTTCTATGAATTTAATTTTCGAATATATATATGTGTATATATATAACTCACGAATCTCAGCAAAGTCATATTTAAAATTGATCACGACCAATACCATGTACACAAACAAATAAATGTGTTTTTAATATTTCAAATATTAATTTGATTACAGAACAAAAACAAATAAATAATTGTTGATGTACTGATACGAATTTATGTATTTTCTCACTATTTTATGAATTTGGAGGATGCGGATTTGTCAATTTTGTTAGATATTACATCACATTAATTTAAAATTAATTTGTTCATTTAATAAAAGGGTTTACTGGTTCTTCGTATACATAAACTATTTGTGTCAAGATAAACCCTTATTAATTATACATTGATTGCTTTAACCATACGAGATAACAAAAAATATGGATATATTTATGGAATAATAGACTATTAAAAATGACACAAACGAAGAGAGAGGGAGAAAGAAATTTATGGTCAATATATATATATATGCGGGATTTATGGTAAATTATACCCTCATTTTAATATCTAGTTTGGGTTTTGTATTTATAGGTTATCTCATTTTCGTTTTCGTGAAATTTGGTATCCTCGTCCCGGATACTCATCGTTGAATTTAATTATCCGTGATATCGAACCCGCCAAAATTTTAAAAAATCGTCAACTTTGGTTGATTTCAATAGTATTTTAATAATTTTATTTTAAAATATATTTAGATATTATTAAAATATTAAGAATATAAAGGTTATTTTATTTATAGTATACGAGTAAAAAAACCCGAATCCAAACACGCAATCCAGATCCATGGCCTCATCACATCCGTCTTCAATTTTATTTATATAACGAATACACGTGCCCACGGGCTAGTAGGTAAATTCCAAAATTATGTTCTATGGGTTCAAAAATCCTCCATAGTTGGAACCACGGAAGCTTCTCATCCATCCAGAAGGTTCTAACATTTAAGCGTTCTCCATATTTCAACTGTTCCATCTGATTTATTGATTAAGTAATAAATTATTATTTTTTTCTATCTCGTCGCATCCTTGAAAAAAATAAATAAGCATGGATAAGCACCAAAACAACACAAAGAGGGACCACTTGTGCATTGTTCTTGTTCGGTCCAATTCCTTGTATGAATAATTGCAATAACTCTTCCCCCTTTAGTATGTGTCTCAAATCTTTACATAATTTATGTCCCATCCTTATCAATATTACATCATCTCAATTTTCCATTTACCATAACAATCAATTTCTTGGATCATAATGATTTACCAAAACACAACACCAATAACCAAATGCCACCCATATTATTTTTTTTAATGATAAAGTTTTCAAATCATCCGGTGATTATTTAACAAAATATCTGCATTGAATTGAATGCCAAACTATGACCGTTAAAACATAACAGACTTGGTGACGGCAAGTGGTCGGCAATGGGAAAGTACAATTTCTCTTCATTTTTTTTAAGTTGAACTACAAATAATACTAAATTAAATTTTATCTGGTTATTTTGTCCATTTCATGATAAATAAAAAATGAACCGTCAATTTTTTAATGATTCATTCAATTAATACATACTTTTTAATATATATATATATATATATCCGATATTTGTTTTGGTAAAAAAATGAATAGTTAAGTCATAGTTGTTGACTGATTTTGTTTTAGTTTTAACTCAGTTGGAGAAAACTATCACGTGGAAGGCGTGACGCGCCACAAGGCCGAGTTGAGTTTTCGATTTCGTCTCTCACCACCGTCCTCCTCACTCTTCTATATATACACAGCGACTGCGTTTGACTTTTCCATTCCATCGAGTCCTCCTCTCTCTCTCTCTCTCTCTCTCTATCTTATACAGATCGACGGTGTACGGACGCGGCGGAGAGATGGCGGATCTCGCGGCGGAGAAGGGGAAAAACACTAGGGAGGCGAGAAACAGCCTCTTCTCTCCGTTTAAGATGGGAAGATTCGATCTCGCTCACAGGTCAGTTTTTCATCGCCGATTTCGCGTTTCGGTTGTCTCTCGCGTTCCGATGAGTCGCGGTCGCGTGGATCTGACGCGTTTTCTGGGAGATGGATGGCAGAGTGGTGCTGGCGCCGATGACGCGGTGCAGGGCGCTGGAGGGCGTTCCAAACGCGGCGTTGGCGGAGTATTACTCTCAACGCTCCACTCCCGGCGGTTTCCTCATCTCCGAAGGCACCATGGTCGCTCCCGGCTCCGCAGGGTATTCTCGTCATTTCCCCTCTCTTCTCTCCTCCTTTTTCTTTGTCAGCAATCATTCACTCTGAGAATGGGTCTCTCGAGTTCTGATTTTGAGGGCTTTTAAAAGATTATATTTTTTAAAATGAATTTTGTTCGATTTGATCTTTTGTTATCGGTCTTCGATTTGAATAAATATATATTTTTTGCGATCACAAAGTGTAATTAAATATTTATAAACTTTTTAATGTTTTGCTTTAATCACCCTAAAAACAATACGTAATAAAACTATGCTCTTTTCTGTAAACAAAATTAATAAAAGTTTTCTCAAAATTAACATCATTTTTTTTTTAACTCGGATTAAAAAAAAAGCGTTATGATTGAAATCGTTGAACATAATTTTGTGTATTGGAATTCTGGCCAATTAGGAAGCGCTGAGTTGGGATATGGGTCCCACCATCTCATCCCGCTATCAGACAAAACAGATATTTATGAACAATATTACATATATAGATGTGAGTAGTTTAAGTTTCGTATTTTTATAAAACTATATTTTGTATCGAATATTCAAGCTAATAGTTCGGTTGAATCAAAATCATGGTTTATTTTATATACCCAGAATTAGATTATAAAATTAATTGCATCCCAAATTAGGATATATTATAAATATAAAGTGAGAACCTTTTCACAACGTGGTTTAAATAAATAAATACATACCTGGTTGGATCAGTAAAGACACTCCTATAAAAAGATTCTGGTATTATTATATGATTGTTTTTTTTATTAATCACGAATTAGATTCCCGCATGTTCCTGGAATCTACAACGATGAACAAGTCGAAGCATGGAAGAAGGTTGTAAACGCAGTTCATGCCAAAGGCGGCTTCATCTTCTGTCAGTTATGGCACGTTGGTCGTGCCTCTCACCCAGGTTTGTCCCCGTGGAATACGTACTGATTGGTTGGTCGGTCCAATTATTCGAATTAATCTCTCCATAATTTCCAACAATAATATTACCCGAATGCTAAATGATGATACGATGAAACAGTGTATCAACCGGGAGGAGGTGCACCTGTATCATCGATTGAGAAGCCGATTTCATCAAGGTGGAGGATCCTTCTACCGGATGGAACATACGGGAAATACCCGAAGCCTCGAGCTCTGGAAGCTTCTGAGATCCAGCAGGTCGTGGAGAATTACCGGACGGCGGCCATCAACGCTATCAGAGCAGGTTTTGATGGGATTGAGATCCATGGGGCTCATGGTTATCTCATTGATCAGTTCCTCAAGGACGGTATCAATGACCGAACTGATCAATACGGTGGCTCCATTGCCAACCGTTGCAGATTCTTGCTGCAGGTATTAAGGAACTGAAACCGAAATCTAATATTTTGATCCTATACTGGTCATTAACTTGGGGGGATTGAATGGAAACTTTGGGTTGAAAATGCAGGTAGTGCAGGCAGTGGTTTCGGCCATTGGAGCTGGTCGGGTCGCTGTGAGAATCTCTCCAGCTATAGACCATCTCGATGCAACTGATTCCGACCCTTTAGCCCTCGGGTTAGGCGTAGTGGATCGGCTTAATAACCTTCAAGAAATCAACGGCTCGAAGCTAGCTTACCTGCATGTAACTCAGCCTCGGTACCATGCCTATGGGCAAACTGAGCCGGGAAGGCAAGGGAGCGAAGAGGAAGAAGCCGAGCTGGTGAGGAGGTTGAGAAATTTGTACAACGGTACCTTCATGGCAAGTGGAGGGTTCACGCGAAAACTCGGTATGGAAGCAATCCAACAAGGGGATGCGGATTTAGTATCGTTCGGGAGGCTGTTTATTGCGAACCCAGATTTGGTTTTGCGGTTTAGGGTTGATGCTAAGCTGAATAGGTATGATCGGAAAACGTTTTACACTCGGGATCCGGTCGTTGGGTATACAGATTATCCTTTCTTGGGGGAGGGGACAGTGAACAATGATAAGCCTTTGTCTCGGCTCTGAGTCTTGAAACTCTTTTATTGGATATCGAATCTTCAAAATATATATTAATGAGTTGAATTATATTTTTGTGCGGTTTGTGTTGTCGATATGCGTAAACCGAGAAGAATGATGAGGTGTTACGGATAATTTGAGTATCTCCATGTTTGTATGGCGATGAGGTTTTAAGGGTGGGGCCGAGCGAGGGGCGAACGACGAGACGGGGAGAGATGTTGCACTGACCAAACCCAAGCCTAACCCTAGGCGAGTCTGATGACGAACACAGACAACAAATTAGGTACCCGAAAACCGAATTTTCGTCCAATCCCTGGGCTTGATCGTCCAAGAAGAAGGTGTCACAAGAGGGCGGAGAGTTAAATTTCCAGATGGATCACAAGAGAAATACCCGAAAAGCCGAGGCCCCAAGCTGTAAAAGCCTCTAGGATCCTGTAGAGGTGGGGGAGAATTACCGCAAGCCGACCATTAACACCACCCGAGCATGTTTTGATGGGATCAAGATCCACAAAATTGATCAGTTCCGTAAGGATGTGATCAATGATCGGACGGATGAACACAGTTGCTGCTTTGCAATCGTCATAGATTCTCGCTGCAGGTACTTAGGGAACTGAGTCGCTCCCTGAGATTCAGAAAGTCCAATCATACTATTCCCTAGCTCAGGAACCGAACGGAAACTCGGGAAGATATGTAGGTAGTGCAAACAATACAAGGGGATGCTGATTTGGTATCACTCGGGAGACTGTTTATCGCGAACCAGTATTTCAGCTTTCGGGTTTAAGGTTAAGGCAGATCTGACAGGTATGATCGGAAAAGGTTTTACACCCTTTTCCTTTTCCTGTTATTCCTGCCTTTTGAGTCTTGAACTCTTCTTTGTTCTTTCCCCATTGAATCTGCAAAAGGAGAGCAAAGATTTCTGCAAGCAAATGTGGTTTTGTGTTATTTGATACGCGTGAAACAACAAGAATCGACAGTAGTAACGACAATTGCAGTGTAATGAAACCCTATTATTCGGCCAAAACTTCACAGAGAAGAGATAAAAAGAGATGAATCCCTATTTTTGTGCGTACCCACCACTTCTGGAAATCTCCATGGAAGTTCTTGGCAGAAGAGATGAGAGTATCAGAGGGATGAACTTACAGCATGAACCTTGAAGAACACCAGCCGCGGGAATTTTAAATACTACCACTCTTGACTACAGAATTTCATGAATCTTCTAAATCTCAGCTAGATGCTGGCCTTGAGTACTCCTTCAAAACCACCATTAATGTCGATCTTGAGCTTCTTCCCAACCATGAACACCAGGTTTGACCAGTGTATTGTGACAAAAATTCACCAGCACCCATTCTCTTTTGCTAGCTCGGGTCCCTAAGAAACTACCAGAAAGATACACCTCGATGATGTTTATGTATATCCATTGCGTGCTACCGTTCTTCTGCGGTCTCACAAATACACCCGGGAAGAGGATTCGCGTAGAAACTCTCTTCCAGCTTCGGGAATTCCCCTGGCTCTCTCATATATGGAGCTCCATCTCGGTCTCTGTGCAATTTCTTCACTTTTGAACTGAATTTCTTCCAAGAAATCCGCCCCTCGTCATATGCATCAACGAGTTTTACAAAATGCATCCTGCAACGAAGAACAACACATTACCACATCTGCAAGAAAGACCCATTTTTTATACAAAACTGGCAGGCACGGAATCAGACATTACTTGTCTGGATTTATGGTCTTTTTGAAGTTGTCGAAGCGCCTGTGACCTTGAACAGCCTTCGCCATGTTTCCATCATAAGTGTAAAGAAACACGTCACTTTGAAGCGCGACTATGTAGTCTAAGCCCGCCAACATATTCTGGTGGTTGTTGAAAGGACGGAGCTCTTCTTCAGTGGCAAGAGTTGAATGCGAGAAAATGCTGGGGAAGTCAGTGGTAAGTGACTCCATGCTTCCATTCCCATAAGCTTCACCGGCTACAAGGTAAATCCGGGTGCTTGATGGGAAACCCAATGCCCTAAGCAAAAGGGAAGTTTCCCTTGGAGTTAACGGGCATCCACCGAGCAATCTTCTCTCCGTTCCATTTATTTCTTTTTCCTTCCAATGGCTGACCTCATACCGCATCTGACGTAGCTCTTCATCTTCTTCAGCCATCAAACCATGACTGCAGCCTGTGAAAGCAAGCATATCCTTCTCATACCTACAAAAATGATCTTGGTAAGTTGAGAAAAAAAAATGATATATCCAAACTTTATATGAGAGAAGACACTCATGATCAATATTTGATGAGCTCTATATACATAACAATTCAGACTTGTTCACCAAGCTCCGAAAGAGCCTAACATCCAACGTCAAGGAAAAGGTTCGTACAAATAACAAAAAAAAAAAATGAAATACTTATAGACTCGTTTGATATGACGAGTAGACATCACAACTTGCCTTAAATGGAGCGCAAGGTACGGGCCTCCATTCTTTCTCATTCTGGAAACTAAGATGTTTCCCAATTCCTCTATCGGAGCTGAGTATTTCAATGCCTTATAATTTACACGGCAACGTAGCTTTTGTATGGAATTGGACAGGTCATTGTTGGCGAGACGAGAATCGGTATGAGTGAAGTACACGACCTTATGCTGCTTCAACAACGGGAGAACCTCTGTCTTATAGTAACTAGCCTGAGGGAAAAAGAAAGAAAGAAGAAAGTCAAGAGAATGTATGGGTGTGAGATAAGCCTTTAACCCATTAACCGATTCCTTTTTTTTCTTCGGGTGCCCTATTATACAGCAAATATATGGCTATCCAGGTACCAGAGTGGCAACCAAATACGGATGAAGCTATCTTGACCTTGGACCAAGAAATTGGTGTCTTAACAAAAGGCTCAATCGCAGCTAATTCTTCTGGCATCGTCTCAACTATGTGAATGACATCCTTCAACTCCTCAATGAAGTGTCGCCAATCAAACAGATCCTTAAAGCCACTGCAGACGTAGTCAGGGGTAGAAGCAACTGAGCTAAGAGCAGACAATTAAGCGAATTTGAATAAAAAAGCATTCTGTACTTCTGAAAGGGACAGAAAAGATCCTCTTTTTTTTTTTTCAAATGGAAAGAAAATATGCAGTCAACCAATTCAATTCCATCAACCCTCGTTTAAGTTAAATGTACAAAGCAGACGATAAGTTATGTGCTTCTGCAAGGACAAGGAGAGAAGAAAATCATCTGAGAACGTCAAGACTAACCTATCATCTGCCCAATAAGAGCTATGATCGAGTGAAGGAAGAACTAGAGTTGCCTTGATAACTTTAGCCACAGCGACCATATCACAGATCTGCACTCTAAAATGGTTGATCACATCAGACTATGGCGTATAAACAAAGGGAAACACAAAAAAGTAAAAACACACAATAGCCAGACCCCAAATCTCATCTGATTCAGGCCTCCATTAGCATTTATGAGAAGGTAGCCATTTGTCTTTGCATCAAGCTCTGCAAAAAATATATAGCTAAGAATAAGAAAATGTAGCAGACAACAATGAAATATAACAAATGGAAAATATAAAATACTATATCGTAGAGGGCATACTTTTGTGACTCTTTGTACTGTCAACGCACTGCGTGAAATTCCCGCTCTCGGGTTTGGCCCAAATACCTGAGTACTGAATGAAGAAGTAAATCTCACAAAGTAGTAAAGGCACCTCTAACAAGACATCCCAGCCACAAAGAATGGAGCAAAATAAACCATTTCAAAATTATGATTAAGCAGTGGGAAATTTAAGATGATATTCAGAGCTGAGACTTACTTCTAACACTCTGTTCTGATCATCAACCACACCTGATGTGACCATAATCAAAGTGCGTTGAACATCACTTCCTTCGTCTTTATACACATAATCATGGGAGGTATGATCCAATACATTTACTCGACGTATGGAGTCCGGCAATCCCTAGGAAAAAAAATAAGGAAGTTTAGTTCTGTGTCTACATTTCCTTCATCCTTGGTCACTACACATTAGTCAAGTAGAGACATCAAAAACTCTATTTGCATTGGATACATGTGCCCTGATCCAAAAATTCTACTTTTGGAATCTAAAAGCTTCTTAACTAACTACATGTCTGAGCTAAGACAACCCATGATTGCCAACATCGGACATCAAATTAAACACATTAGCAGACATAAAAAAATCAGGAGCCCATCATTCCTAGTAAAAAGATCATAAATCCTGTTTTGATCATTGTTTACGTGGGAGATATCCGAACAAAGTTCAGGAAACTAATCAGAGATTCTGGATAAGAGATTCATGTGAGCTCTCAATGTGCCAACTTGGAGACACACCGACAACTGGTTCAAACATAAACTCTCACAACGAGTCTCCGAAAGCAGAAACCAAATCACATTCATGTGTAGAATACAGGATTGGCGTCGGAAAATACCTGATCAGAAGTTGTCCCATCAATGGCGGATCCAAACCACCCAGTAGCACAAATTTTCAAAACACCCAGAAACAAGCACACCCCACAAAAGGCGAAGAACATCCAGTGCCCTAGCTTCTTCTTTTCTCTCAACCCAAAATCCGAAACCACCGATCCCATCGGCTTCCTGAGCAGTCCTCTCACGACTCTCTCTCTCAACTCACCATACTTCAGATGCTTCCTATTAAGAACTGACTCGAACCCAGAACCCAGATCTGCACCCGAACTAGACCCGATCTCTGATCTGGGCGAGCTTAGCTGCAGATCGATCTCGTGATGAACTTTCAAACCAGACGATGAACCATTCTTCGCGTGGCTGCTGATTCCTCCGCCGCCGCCGCCATCGCCACCTATGCCTACGAGGGCGTTGCCTCCGCCACAGTGAGAATTGGCTCCGGCGCCGACGACGCCGCTCTTGAAGGAATGAGCGCGGCGGGTCATGGGGCCGGAGAGTCGTGGGCTGTTCACACGCTGAGGGACGCCATCGCCACCGTCATGGTGGTGGCGGTGGTGACCCATCTCGGGGTTTCCTTCGACTTTTGCAATCTTTAATGGTGACGCCGAGATAGGATTTCTGCTTTATCCTGAAATGGCAATGAAATCCAGGGAAAAAAACAAAATGTTAAATTTTTCCCTGAGTTGTTTGTTTCCCAGGAAAATGAGAGCTTTTTCAATTTTTTTCTCTTTCTAGAGGAATTCCCAGAATGCGGTGGGTAACCGCGGAATGTACGGAATTTTGAGTTTTTATAACATTGATGGTTTTTTTTTTTACTGAAAATATGCTATATATCATTATTATTTTTTGGTTAAAATATTATATATATCATTATAATGTGTATTTTCTATTTTTGATGGAGCGAAAAGTATCTGTGTCACTGATATAAAATGAAAAAGGATTTAAATATTCAATTATGAAAAGTCCACTACGAATTGCTACTTGCTGTCATATGCTTTCCGAGTTCAATGTATCTTTTTTATTAGTTGAATAATAATGAGCTGTAGGAGCAAAAATATGATGCTTCAATATTTATTATTTTTTTTTTAATTAATATGTTATGCTTAAAATACAATAAACAAAGATCAAAAATCATAAATCAATTTTCGTAAGTAGAGATGAAAATCGGATTTCATAACAGGCGGACCGATTCTAAGCAAGTCACTTTTCCAATTTTACACATCTATCCATTTGATTGGACTATATCTCAACACACATTTATTCCTTTTCTCATTATTTGGTTGAATTCTTAGATTTAAATAGAAAATGTTTTGATATCCTGACAGATAGCAGCTGTATAATATAACAACGTACTACAACAACGACGTTAGTGATGTCGGTGGTCCTTTCTCTCTTTCTTTTCCCACCTTTGTTTTGCAATTTATATTTAAATTATTAGAGTTCACATTATGGGAGTTTGCCCTAATTTTTATTCATTTATTTACCATCCTACATAAAACAATATATATAATTGATTTCATCAAAATGAAAGAAAAAGTTACATATGTATATTTTACATAGTATTTCTTAAACATGCACAGTATAATATATTTCATGTATTTCATCACATGCCTTTTGATATGTGCACATGTGTTTCATCTATACACTACACACACACACACACACACACACACACATACACTTGTTTAATTCTACACAAGACCATAGATCAAAAGGTATGGGAAGATAGTAATTCACACTTGGCAGTGAATTTCTATTGAAGGAAGAAGGAAAGACACTTAATCTATATTAGGTTACAATGACAAGAAAAAAATGGAAGGCTAAGTTATAAGCAATTTGCTTACAGAAACAGCATATATGTACCTGTGCTAGTACAGCAGCCTCCATGAATAGGCAGCATCACAAACTGGGTTTGATTTCTTTCTCCAGTTAAGTAGTTTGTGATTCTTTCTCGCCCGATTCCGAAAAAAAAGGGGTAAGGGCAGAGAACCGAGCTTCTATGTCGTACACCGGAGCAAGTATGTATCGCCTTCTGCAGGTTGTTGCCTTTCAACAATCTATATATTTCAGATTGCAAAATGTGAATATCAGTGCTTGCAAGATTTATGTAGAATGGTTCTTCAATCTTTTTTTTTTCTTACTGAGAAGTTTGCTCGTTTTTTCACTCGGTATTTTTACCTCAAACCCCGTCTTTTCGTATAGTTCCCATGCAGCCGTATTGTTTCTGTGTACGTGAACGTATACTTGTTCCACTCCTGCAAAATTATAAACGAGAATTTGAGATTATGTTTTTGAAATCTGTTCAAGTGGCTAACGGATACTAAGAATGGTGTTTTCTTCTTTTAATCGATATTTACCACTGGATCTGGCTGATTCAATTGCGAAACGTAACATGTTGCAAGCAATACCCTGGCGGCGTGCTGACTTGGCTACACACAGATTAGCAATGTAGCCATACCTGTTCGATCCTTCTCTGCTAATACTGCAGAACAGTTGAGATTTTACCCTCTCCTGCACAAATGGAACATGTTTCTATATTCAAAAACCGATTGATATTAGCCCACACCCGGAATGTGGGATCCAGAAGAACTAACTATTACCCCGGGAAAGGTCTCTCCTTGCAAGAAAACTCGGATGCTCAAGTCAAGCGTCCCGACCACACTTTTTATCACCGTACGTTTGATGTTCTTTTCTTCCTTCCTTACCTGATTATTCAGAGCCAAGATTCTAAATGAGGACAATGTCAGGTTACTTCTCAGACACAAGAATAGGGAGCACAGGCAGATATAACTCTAAAAAGTCGAATAAACGAGAGGTGGGTCTCAGAGGGAACTGAAGGCAGCCGACAATTGTTGGAAAAATAGATTATACCGCGACGATACAGGAACATTTTTGTCCATTCAGCCCTTTGCACCTCCTCTTTATGGCATTGAACTCCTGCACCATTCCAATAATAACTAAGAAATCAGGCTCCGAAACCACCTATCTCCATCTAAAGAGAAAGAGGTAAAAATGGAATAAAATCAATCTCGGCTTCTACCTGCTCTGCAAATTTCCTTTTGAAGTTATCAGCATATCTGTGTTTACAAAGGACAGCATTAATCAGCCCTACCCGAAATATCTGCTCATACCACACTATTTATTCCTATAGCAATGTTGCAAATGCTTGTAAAGGACCAGGCTTTCCTGATCAAATTATTCGAAGAATCGAAACAAATTTCCCAGAAAACATCAATGTGGAACAACTTCACTATCTATACTTGCACACTAGACAACATATATTCTACTCATGAAACCAGATGATGAAAAAAAATGTCCTTCCTTGGCCTACCTTTCATGGGCACGATGCTCCCAATGACTCTCGGCACGCAGCCATGCTGCTGTCTGTAAAAAACAAAAAAGCAACCGGTAAATGAGATATTCCATCCAACATAAAAGTGAATTCTGAATTTACTTGTGGGGTGGGTGGGTGAAAGAGCAGTAATCACTGTTTTACCCAGTATTCTTCGTCAAGAACGGCTTCTCGTGCCACGAATTTGCCGAATTCGAATCTTTTTCCCTCTTCAATCCCAGGCTCTGCAGGCTGCAAACGATCGAACCTTAAATCGTTTTGCATCAATTTATCAGCTTGTTGAATCGAAGGCGGCCTTGAGATATACAGAGACAGCTCCCCCTTCGCTGTATCGGAGGAACTCGAATCCATCGTTTTGTTCATTCTTCGAGAAAACAAAAATCCCAATCAACTCATCAACTTGAAAATGAATCATGATCGAAATCGCAGAAATGAAGAAGGAAAATGGACTTACATCCTCCAAGAACGGGAGATTCTCCGGAATCTCTGCCTGCAACTTCGCGATCCACCATGGGCGAAGCTAAGAAACTCAGTTCCATGGATAGAAATCGTCGACATCGCCACCAATTCCCTCCTTCAGCGAAACCACGAGACTTGCTCCGTATCACAAGCAACACACACAGAGAAACCCAAACGTCGAATTTTCCCCCTCTTCCCCCCCGCTTCTTGTTTGATTGCCGAGGAAAAGCTCCAACCAGGAGGAGGAGAGAGAAGAAAACCAGCGTGGAAAAGCCGGATAAATGGATAAACTACACGGCCGCTAAGGGCATAATAGTAATTTCATAACGCCGAAGTTTCCTTCGCGCATAAGGTTGGGCGTGAAAATGGGTCGAAAAGACGATAATGCCCATACATCCGCATTGTCAGATCGGAGGGTAATGAGGTCACCACGTGGCAAGATATCCACCGTAGATTCTAGTTTTATAATTGAAACAGAAATAATCATTTGAGAACATGACTAACGGATTCACTTTTCTTACATCGAACACAGAGATAGTTTCTTGGATACTTGTCTTTGTACTAGTTTCTCTCCAAATCCTAGCTGCAACAGAGCTCCGTGAACGAGTTTCCAGAAGAAAAGTCGAATCCTTTGAGCAGTTTTAAGCCCGTAAACTTTCTGTTGCATCTCCCCTGGCCGAAAAATTCCAGCTTGTTGCAACACATTTCATGATCTGCATTAAGACGAGGTAGTTCTCTATTTTACGGTATCTAGATATGAAAAAACCCGAGCGAAAAGGCCGAAACGTTTTTCCCTTTCGGGTTGTCGTCGTTTTTTGCTTTCATGATTGATCCTTCAGACATGGTTTTAACCCGGCCGAAGGAAGAGTGCAGGGTACCTGATATCATCCATAAGAGACCTTTTAAAGCTACTGAAATTTGTGCACATGAATGACTGAAAGGGGGGAAAAAAAGCATGCAAACATGACCAAGATGAAGGAAACAGCAGAAATTCAATCGGAAACTTGAAATATATCGACGAGCGGAACACGGGTAGATCCAGACATACATTTTACCTGTTCCTTCGTTCAGGATTTGTCTAGATGTCTAGTAATAATTCGAACTGGTCAAAATGGCTTCAACTCTGTCCAATGATGCCTGTAATCTCCCCGAGTTCATGTTGAATAACGGTTCATCAGTCCCCAGGCTCCTGTTGCATTTGATAGTATCACCATTACTCAGTCTCACCCAAAGGCAGCATCAGCTAAAGTAAAATAATCATGGAGAGAAGTAACAAGAACCATCAAATCAAGCAAAATGAATCTCGGAAAATGTTTCGATCCAAGGAAACAGGTGACTTGCCCGGTAATCTCAGGGATAACATAATCCGCTCTCCATCCGAAACGAAAATCGACACCAGGACACAGACTGAGAGTTGTCTTGTTACGGATCCGGGACACACCATCTCCACCCAAACATGTGGTGAGATTGAATTTCCAGCCAGTTGCATTCATCTGAAAGTTATGGCCGACACCAAACTGCAGAGATTGAAATGAAATGCACAGCTATTACCAAAAGAAAAAGACTTAGAAAACCTCTGTACAGAAAGTGTCGAACATAACCAAAAGGGACCAGAACATGACATCAAAGCCCGAACCTGGAGATTCAGAAATCTGGTGAGAGGAATTTTCTTCGAAAGAATGCGAACATCTTGGCGAAGCGGCTCATATACGAACTTCCACCTCCTTTCCGGGGATAGAGGTTTCAGAACAAGCTTCGCATGGTAATCATTCGTCGGTGCGTTATAAAACTGAAAACCAAAGTTACAACCCACAAATGTGATGATTAAGGGCTTTTGAAGCAGGAAAGGAGAGCTCCCATTGTTGAACTAAGAGCATGAAGTCAAAGAATCTGTTCCTGATAATGTATGTATATACTGTACAAGGATATATATGCACACACAGGGTGAGTGTAAGCCTAAACAGAGTCAATGTTGAATCAAAAGAGAGACCAGTTTTCTGTAAGCTCTAACTGTATACATGCATGATGCATTTTACACAAATGGAGTAAGCAAATAAACTTGAGAATCCAAAATCACTATTAACAATCAAAAGAAATTCTTTTGGAACAAGTTCCAAACTCTGTTCACCAATTATCAAGCGCATTGAAGAATTCAATGGAATCAAACTCCGTTCTCCAATCCAATAACCCATTCTCCATGTAGGACTAAAGTGTGAACCAATTCATGAACTTTAGATTTCAGACTGCATACCCAGAAGAAGAACCAGAAGCATAAACCCTAGGGCTACTCAACATTGAAGAAACCCAAAATCGGCGAACTGAAAAAGAACAAGACGAGAAACAGAGAGAGAGGACCTCGAGATTGACACCGACGCGAAGCCCTTCAAGCTCCTTGCGGAACTTGACGAACAACTCCGACGGCATCAGATTGACGCTGTAAAGCTCGTCCCATGACGGCGGTTCCTCCGGCTGCGGATTCGGAAGCTCCATTTCCGATCAAACCGACCGATGAAATGATCGTAGTTCGCAGATTACAGATTCGCGACCACGCCGAACAGTAATCGAAAGGGGTTTTTTTCTAAAATGCACTACGTGGAGCACATTAATTTCAGGTGTACGGAGCCTGAAAATTTTTCAGCTTGTACACCACTTTTCGATTGAAAAGTCGCAAATAACCCTGTATGCAAAAAGTCGAAATTACCCTTACTTTAAAAATAAAAAACAAAACGTGTTGAATTAAAAAACGACAGAATAAATGTGGGTTTCTCTCTCCTGGTGTTCTTCTTCTTCCCATGTATCGTCGTCGGTATTTCTCAGCGGAGGCAATCTTCCCGACTGGTTTCTCCGCCATTGTTCCCGACGAGAGCTGCGATCGACAGCTCCGGCATTCTTCCCAACAGCTCCGCCATTATTGAGGTATAATGTGAATGAAACCCAATCATTTTCTACAAAAAATCAACACTGCCGAGATGTTCTAGGGCTTGATATCATGACCCAAATTGATCTGTCGTTGAACTCAACCTGTTTACGACCTTTGTTATATGATCATGTAGCGGAGATGAAAGTGAACCCTCCTATTGTAAGAGAACGAGGTGTTGGTCGATCGACCATGAATCGAATCAAGAGTGTCAGGGAAAAAAGAGGAAAGAAAAGAAAATCGAGGGTGAATCCATATGATTCAGAGGAGCCACTGTCACAGAAGAGGAAGAAGAAAGACAAGGAAATCGTTTTGCAGTTAGAAGATGAAATGTAAAACCTGTCATGAATATATACATCTGTTAACTGTTATGACTTTTTGTAAATGACTTCATCGTAACTATGTTACGACTTTTTGTAAACGATTTCATCGTGACTATGTTACGACCTTTTGAAAACCTATGCATCGTGACTATGTCCAATTTAAAAAAAAATAACAAAAAAGCTTAACAAAAAAAGGCAAAATCGAAAAAAGGAACAAAAGTCTGACAACTGGTGGACATTCGACAAAAAACCAAGTTTTGTCTTATTATCGCCCATAACCAACTTATTGCGACTCGATTATGACTTAATTACGACTTTGGATTTTCGGTCTAAATGTCAAAAATGTCGTTAAATTTTCCGAGTTTTCTGCAAGGAGTGATGAATACCGACTAAGTAAGTAGGAAAATTGACTTATAAGTCACATTTCAAAAACTTTTATACAATAATATAGGTTTGGATCAAAGTGTTTCTATATGTTTCTTAAACATATAGGAACACTTTCAATCAAGTTGGTAATTTTTTTTTCAAATCTTTCTTTTGTTAATTCGTGCCTTTGAATCTATTTCTAATACTTATTTTCAAGGGTTTCATCATCACTCGACGTAAAACTCGTCAAATTTCACGAATTTTTACACGATTACGACCAATAAAAGTCGTAATTATGTCGTAATATAGTCGTGTTAGAGTCGTAACGTAGTTACAATAACGTTGCAAATAGTTGGTTTTGGGCGATAATACGACAAATACCGTCTTTTTTCAGCTTCAGCTTCTTTCCCTGGACCCACCTGTCAGTAAAGTGACTTTGACTTGTTTTTTTTGTTGACTTTTTTAATTTAACTTCAAATTCCACCCACTTTTCATATGAATCATTATATGCATAAAAACTACTTTATTTTTGTCACTTTCAGCACACAACTACTTTATTTCGACTTATGAAACCCTGAACTAACACAATAATGCAAACCATGTTCCAAACCACAACAACACCACAACAAACAGCAAACCATGTTCAAATTACACATACCACAACAAACAACAAACAACAAACCGATCAAGTTCAAAGTACAACTAAAACCGAATAGACACAGACCATGTTTCAACGTTTTCCTCCACGACCACGGCCTCGACCTCTTCTTCCTCTTCCTCGGCCTCTAATGATTCCACCCTTCGAATTGATAGAGGTGTCATTGTATCAGCCCATGGAGATAATGTTTTCTCTGATGCGACTTTGGCACGTTGTACTCTCTCACTTGGTTTTCTGCCTCTTTGTGGTTCAGCTTCCTTCCCTGCTTCAGGTTCCATTTGACAGATTTTTCATCTTCATACAAATGAGACATCCAACTGTCAACAACCTCGTCAAAATTATCAACAAGCTCCACACCCTGTACCAGAGATGCTTCGGCCTCGTCTGGTACTAGATAGCTCGCAATGTCCTGAAATAAATAAAAAATCCGCTAAAAACCACTACATTTTTTCAACTTCCCTATAACTATTCCTTTTTTACTACTCTATTACTACGTACCTGTATCCTGCCAATCTTTGTCAATCTTTGTTTTATCTCATATTTTCTTTTCGGGATAAAACATCTTCTGCACATCCGTGGACAGGTTGCTTGCACATTACCTTCCAACTTCACTTCACTATACCATCCGCCAGATCGAAGCTTAGGAATACATTCGAACGGTAACATCTGCAATATCAACCATAAGATCAACAAATTACAACCCAAACCTAATTCCTACACAAATTCAACTTCAAATCCAAACTCAAATTCAAAATTCTTACTTCTCTTTCACGGGAAGATTCCGAGCCTGTTGATGTCTCCCCCTCCGCCACCGACTGGGACTGCGTCTGGGTTCTTCCGGCGGCTGACCTCGACCGTGTTGAAACAACGGTTCCACTCGACGAAGCTCCTTGCATTCTCGTCGTTTGGACTGCGTCTGGGTTCTTCCGGCGGCTGACCTCGACCGTGTTGAAACAACGGTTCCACTCGACGAAGCTCCTTGCATTCTCGTCGTTTCAGAGGTAATCACACTTGGGTTTTCGATTTGGATTTCCCCCTCACCGATTTCGCAACTCTCTCTCTCTCTCGGCGTTTTCTTTCTCTCTCTCGGCGATTTCTCGATTTTTTTAAGTTCTGTGTAAATAACTATAGTAAAAATGCCTTAATTTCCCTTTTTCTTCTGAATTTATCTCTTTTTTTACTTTTTCACGGGATTTTAATTCCTACACGTGCGACTTGTCTCACACGGTTACTTATTCAAGGTTATTTGGTCTTTTCCATTTTCATTAAGGGCAAACCAGACTTTTGTTAAATCGTTATGTTTTTCAGGTGTACACCTGAAATACATGTGCTCCAACTAGTGCATTTTAGAAAAAAACCCAATCGAAAGGGGTTCACAAGAATTTGTGGCTTCTACACCCAGAGTTCGAACCCTGGCAATCACATATTATCAAAAAAAGAATTTGTGGCTTCTTTCAAGTGACGGAGATCTTCCCGGTTCCGGTCTGAACCCATTAAACCGAGTTACCTCTATTTTTTGTGTTTTTGTTTATTTTTAAATCTTAATATTTAATTTATTTTTTTATCAAAAAAAATATTTAATTTATTTTTCAGTAATACGCTTAATAATATCTTTCTTATATCCTACATTTTGATACATAAACTTTTATGCAATCATATTTTGATACCTAATTGTTTAATCAACAAATATCTATGACCAAACCGGTTCATGGAACTCGGGTGAGAGATGATAAAGAACCAAACCGGTTCGAGAGGCCTGGAACCTCGAAGAAGCAACGTGTAGGAAAATGCCTAAAACCTCAATCCCCCGAGTTCCCAAAACCCTGATCGTAAGACACCGCGGACTTCATCACCAAAAAAAAAAAACGAAAACTTTTTGTCCGAGAATGGCGAAAATCGAGAGCTTGGAAGATTTCGTGAAGGTACACGGCGTATTGTTGACGGCGTCGGGTTTGCCGGAGAAGCTCTACGGTCGGCTCTTCGAGAAGCTCTCGTCGGAGACGTTCGACGGCGGAGCTAACTTTCAGATCGAGCTCTGTGAGGACGGTAGGCAACGAAGGCTTGTCCTCACTTCAGATTCCATGCCCAAAGATTCCGACGTCTTCCTCGTCGACCACGCCTGGACTTTTCGCCTTCCCGATGCCTACAAGCAGGTGGGTCTTTTAATGTCGATCTTACCCGTAGAGGTTGCTCGTCTGAATCTTTCTTTTCTGTGATTTTGGTGAGAAAATGGGTTTTTAGTCGTTTCATTGCAGTGCTTTGGTGGGTTCAGTAATAGTTTGTCATCTGTATGACATTTCTACAACTGGTTCGGAAGTCAAGTTGTTTCTGTCGGTTTAAGACCATATTCTTCAAATTGATCATCTATGTCGGAACTCAGAAGTGTTAATGATGATATATCCAAATACTAATTACCAAGTGGTATGGCATCAATGTATGTGTAATTCTAGCATTTTCAGTTGGAAAAAAGTAAAAGGCTTTTTGGGAACTAGTTTCATACCACATGCCAGTGTATTCCAGAACTGTGGAGGTAGAAAAGTTGAAAACATGAACTAGGATTGTTGCCTAAGTGGTATGTGCGAATATTAATCTTGGTAAATTTCGGATTTTTGTGAGGGTATTTATTTTCGTATGTTTCTTCTACATTATGTTCTTTCTATGGATATGAATCATCCGGCTATTCATTTTTGTTATTTCAGCTTCAGGAAGTTCCGGGTTTAGCTGAGAGGATGGCTTCCTTAATGTGTGTGGACACTGATTTCGAGGATAATGTTGAAGAAACGGTTGGTGAGGAGAAACTCGGAATTGATCAGATACTCGAGAATGAAATTCTTTATGCAGCGGAGAAAGGATACGAGTCTGTTAAATGGTTGGAGCTGGAAGGTCTTGGCATAGATGATGACACATTGGTGTCTCTAAATTTGGCCAGTAAATTTCAGGCATGCCTTTGGATTTTTCTGGTTTTTATATTGCCCTGCTGATGTTGGACCTTAATTTACCTTGGGTAGTGAATGTTTATATTCTGATATTACTATGCTTCCATATTTGTATATTCCATGCTTGACTCCCAGCTATGACTCAGTATAAAATATACATCTTTTGTGTAATAGGGAGTTTATGAAGCTTTGTTAGCGTTTTACTGTCTCTTTGTTGATAGGATTTAGTGGCGTTTAGTCTTTTGGGGAACAAAATCGAGAGTGTGGAAGCGGCTGTACAAGAAGTTACAAAATTTAAGCATCTAAAGGCTCTGTGGCTGAATGACAATCCTGTTCTTCAGATGAGGTAAGGATGTTGATGAGAAAAGCTCGAGGCTGGTGGGGTTACCCTAATGGATCATTTTCTCATATATTTATATGCTTTCAGTGACAGTCAGATGGCTGATGCAATATTGCAAGGCTGTCCGGAGCTGGAAATCTGCAACTCGAGCTTCACTCCTAATTATGGGTTGTGGGCACTTGGTTTCTGTGCAGATGTCTTTGGGAAGGATACCCCTGGTTGTGGTCAGCAGGATCAACCCTTGTGTGATGTCACCTCACTTGACCTTTCAAACCGGTCTATTCACAATCTGGTCAATAAGGTTGCTATTCTCGCTCTTATTCATTACCACCAGTGTACCCCTCTCTCTCTTTCAGAGGAAATTCATGTAGAGTACAACTATTGTAGAGTAGAGCTTATCTTTTATAATGTTGGAATATAAATCTCTTTGCAGCTTTTCATATTTTATTTGATTTAGTTCCTTGTTTTTCTTGCATTTGTTTCTTCTTTCTGCAGGCATTCACTCCACATGAATTGCCGTTACTGTCTCATCTAAATATTCGTGGAAATCCATTGGAAGAGAATTCAGTTGGAGAACTGTTTGAAGTTTTGAAGCATTTCCCTGCATTGTCTTCTTTAGAGGTAAATGTCAAAGCTACCCTTTTGTATTCTGATGCAAATTATCTTTTAACAAATGATATTCCCTAAAATATATCTGTGCCTGCAGGTTGACATACCTGGACCTCTTGGAACCAGTGCCATAGATATTCTTGAATCTCTTCCAAAGCTGTCTCTCCTAAATGGTGTTGATACAGCTAAAATCTTGGAAAATGAGAAGCATGTTGTTGACTCAATGCTCCAACCTCGTCTTCCTGAGTGGAATCCTGAGGATAGTCTTGCTGATCGTGTTCTCAATGTGATGTGGCTATATGTATTGACTTATCGTCTTGCAGATGAGGAGAAGATAGACGAAACCTCCTTGTGGTATGCCGTGTGTTCTTGGTTGCTTTTTCAGAATGCAAGAATTACTGTTTAAAGACTTCCATTCATTTTTCCCTCTAAATAACAAAAAATCCAATGAATTCCTATTTAATGATATTGTATATTTCTGGGACATGTAAAATCAGTGTTGTGGGTAATGGTATAAATGTAGTAAGATGAGTGTGCCTTTTGATGGATTTGAGTGGCTGTGATATCTCATGGAGTTTTTCTGCAGGTATGTAATGGATGAACTAGGTTCAGCTCTGATGCATAGTGACGAACCCAATTTCAGAGTGGCTCCTTTCCTTTTCATGCCTAACGGAAACCTAGAATCTGCTGTGAGGTATCCCTTTTTCTCTCATGGCAACAGCTCCACATGAAAACCTGTATTTCGTTTTTTTCGTTGTAAATCTAGATGTCTAATTTTATGTGATGATGTAGTCTTGAAGTTTACATCTCCATAATATGGATTCATGTCAATGCTTGATCAGGGCTGATGTCTAATCTATGCAACTATCTTCCACAGCTTTGATTTCTTGTTCCTGACATATGTATATGCTCGGTTTTGGTTTTTGTTCGTCCAGCTATTCACTATTGTGGCCTATCAGAAATACACATAAAGATGATGAATGCACTCGTGATTTCCTATCGGGTATTGGGGAAGACAAACAACGGTCCGCCAGACTTACAGCTTGGTTTCATACTCCTAAGAACTATTTCATTCATGTAATGCCTCGATTTCTCCAATTTTTACTGGTCTTACTTTTCTTGTTTCTTGCTACAATTTCTATCTAAATGTTTTATACACGTTGATGTTTTAGGAGTTTGAGAAATACCAACAGAAACTGCAGTCACAATCTTTCCAGACTCTCCCGGTGAAGCCTCCAGTTACCCGAAGCATACACAACAATGACGGGTCTCCTTTGCGGGTATACACTGATGTACCTCAAGTTGAAGAATTCTTGACTCGTCCTGAATTCGTTATCAGTATGTATTTTTGGTTTATTTTCTCATTTTCTTATATATTGCATTTAATAGCTTTTCATGAGCATGTACATTCTGCAGGATCCTATTTGGATTGGATGCATATGTAATAGTTTAAGTTCCCTTCAAATTCTGCAATCGAAATGAATTCTAAAAAAGGAAAGGATGTAATTTATATCATATCTTCGTCTTTTTTAAGTGTTATCTCTGTCTGCTTGCAGCAAATGAACCGAAGGATGCAGACATTATATGGACAAGTATGCAGGTGGATGAAGAGACGAAAAAGGCGGTGGGCATAACGGATAGCCAATACATAAATCAGTTTCCATTTGAGGCTTGCCTGGTTATGAAGCATCATCTTGCAGAGACCATTCAAAAGGTAAAATTCACCATATTATATACAGTGAGGATGTCCTTTTATAATTATTGCTCTCAGTCCATCAAGATCTCATATTTCTCCTAACAATTAGCTGAATTAGCTTTTCCATGTTTCTGCATATCCAGGCACATGGACTGCCAAAATGGCTGCAGCCTACTTATAATCTCGAAACACAGTTGTCTCAGTTCATCGGGGATTATTCTGTACGGAAACGAGATGGGCTGAACAATTTGTGGATCTTAAAACCGTGGAATATGGCACGGACAATTGACACAAGCATAACTGATAACTTGTCTGCTATTATCCGTATGATGGAAACCGGCCCTAAGATCTGCCAGAAGTACATTGAGCTTCCTGCTTTGTTCGAGAAGAAGAAATTTGATATGCGATACATTGTTCTGCTACGGAGTATTGATCCGTTGGAGATTTTCCTGGCAGATGTCTTCTGGGTCGGTTTCATTATCCTTCTCAGTAGCCGAGGCACGTATTGATTCATTCTGTTTGGCAACTGGTTTATGGCTAACCTTGTTTGGTTTCAGGTTCGATTGTCTAACAACCCCTATTCACTGGAGAAACACAGCTTCTTTGAATACGAGACGCACTTTACTGTCATGGTATTGTACTTTGAGCAAATTTTCCAACCGTGATCTAATCCTATATTACTTATGTTTCCCTTAATGCCTGTCCATTTCTTTTGTTCTGTAGAACTATGGTCGGAGATTAAATCACAAGCCTACAGCAGAATTCGTGAGAGATTTTGAACAAGAACATAACGGTAAGTACTCTGTTCGGGTTTCTATCCTCCAAATCTTTTGCATATGAAATGTGTCTGCCCTTTGTACTGACCATATAGTTCCTCTCTATTGTAGTAAAATGGCCGGATATCCACGAGAAAGTAAGGAAAATGATACGGGCAGTATTTGAGGCGGCTGCTTTCGTACATCCCGAGATGCATTCTCCCAATTCTCGGGCCATGTATGGCGTAGATGTAATGCTTGACAGTTCTTTCGAGCCGAAGATTTTAGAGGTTTGTCTCCTGAAAAAAAATCGTCTCTTCGTGCTCATAGGAACAGAAAACTTTCCCGGAATGGTTTAGTTCTGTTCATTGATGGGCAACCTAACTCGGCAGGTAACTTACTGTCCTGACTGCATGAGAGCTTGCAAATACGATATGGAAGCCATAGGCGGAGGAGAAGGAATCATCAAAGGCCGAGATTTCTTCAATTTAATGTTCGGTTGCCTCTTCTTGGACGAGACGGCTCATGTAAGTCCCTTGTGAGTTGCCAATGGGTTTTGTCCCAAAGCTCTGACATCATGTTTCTGTTCCCTTTTTTTTAAGACATGTTTCTATGTTCAAATCTGTCGTGAAAGTTCTGTGGTTTTGCTGAGGGAATTGTGCAAAATCTTTTACTTCAAGTTCAAGTGCATGTTCTTGTGAAGTGCAATTGTAATGTGTTGGGCTATTTTCTGCAAATGCAATTTCGAAGATCTTCAACAGAGGCTCTCCATCATAGAAACGATAAATAGGTCTTTCACCATCCAATGACTTGGCAACAAAAATCTAAAGTTCCTGAGGAGCCAGCCATCAACGGCAGGCAAGCCCTTAAGTCCTCTATAGAGAAGAAAAGGAAACAAAATGAAGATCCCAAACCCAACCTAACTCGAAAGATTTGTAATAACCGAGCTCAGTTCTCGGCTTTCGGGATGTTGAGATCTTTGAAAACCGGGCTATCCATCGCGACGCCCATGGCGTTCAAGCCATTATCGACGTAGATGGTTGCACCTGTAATGGCAGAAGCCAGGGGGGATGCTAAGAAAGCTGCAGCATTTCCCACTTCATCTGCATTCATCGTTAAAGTGAAAATGCTCAGCTCGTAAAACTCTAAGGACGGACGAGAAAAGAAGAAACGTAAAGAACGATGGAAGGAAAAAAACCTGCGGTAAGGGTTTTCTGAATAGGTGCATTGGCGTAGGAGTACTCGATCATGGTGTCTATGAACCCGATTGCTTTCGCTGCTCTGCTTCCCAATGGACCTGAAACCCGAATTCTCACACCATCATTATCATCATCAAAGCTGAACCTTTTTAGAGCTGGGTTCGAAAGTTAAACAGTAAAAGATGATATACCGGCCGAGATGGTGTTGACCCGAATATTGTGTTTCCTTCCAGCCTCAAAGGCGAGAACCTTTGTTTAAGACATAATTTGGATCATCAGATAAATAAATAGCATTGGCAATCTCCGTAAAACATTGAAGAGAGGATGAAAATGGCGGGAAACGAAATTGAACTCACTCGGGTATCGCTCTCTAAGGCGGCCTTTGCAGAACTCATACCACCACCGTACCTGCATGGGAGGAAATAGTAACAGAGTGAGGAACAAAACTGCATGTACATTTCCTGAATGCATGTTCATTGTTGCATATGGAAATGTCCTATGAAAACTATGGCATTCATTTCATCGAGGGTCAACAGGCTGTGTATTATTTCAACTGTCCTTCGCCTAAAAGGACGATCTTAAAGTCACTATTACCAAGAGAACCTCAGCCTGAATACACATATGCAGACATATATATCTATATCTATATATAATGCTTAATCTAAATGAAACGTAAAAAAAAAAAATCAAGCCCATAAGTGCAAACAATAAGACGAAGTTGTATTTATCAAACCACCCAAAGAAGTGGTAAGGCCACATTATAAACATACCCGGGAATAATCCTTTCAGAGGCAATGTAGGTAAGAGATACAGAAGCTCCTCCTGTACCACAATCCGAAAACCGCATTCAAGAAGTGAAAAAAAGGAAGAATAAACACGTTACAAAAGGAAAAAGAGAAATAAGGAAAGCGAGTTCGGTAGGGGACTGTTACATGCCTGGGTTCATTATAGGCAGAAAATGCTTAAGCAGGGAGACAAAGGAGTAACTCGAAGCAGACAAAGCAGCAAGATACCCTTTCCTCGAGGTCTCTAGAAGAGGTTTGCTAACCTGGAGACATAAGTTTACCCGTTAGGATTCTCAAGCAAATTTACTTTTAGCAAAATTTCGTAAAAATATTAGTTGAGAATTCTCTACCTCTGGCCCGTTTGCGAGGGAATGCACAAGAATGTCTATACTTCCAAAATCTTGTTTCACACATTCAGCAGCTTCCTGGAAAACACGACAAAAATGTGCAGTCTTTAATGGGTAAAATGGCTGGTGACAAAAAGAAACTTCCTAGCTACAGAACTCGGACAAAATGACATGATTTTCATATGTAGTCTACAAGACCATTCCTGTCTAAGGATCTGATACTAGGATTTCAGTCCATTCAGATTCTCGAACTTGTAAAAACTTGCAGCAATGAGTTTCAGAATGCATGTCTATACCTGTACTGTCCAGTTTGCTGATCCTGCATACCGCTTATTCGTTTTGATCTGGACAAATTAATAGTCAAAATGGGAACATGAGAAGTTATCGAAATACAAACTGTTCTCAAATTCAGCTATCATAAAGCATTACAATTGTAGCTTACATCTTCAGGCACATCATCAGGGTTATCAAACACAGCATCTAAAGGATAAACCTTCTTGATTTCCATCAATGACCCATTAGGCAACCTGGAGAAAAGAAGGATCACGAACAAGGCTACCAGATAAGAATAATCATGAGCAAGCACCCCTCACATAAAATTAAGGCTCTTTACCAAATGTGCCAAAACAAAAGATTAATGTATGACTGTACCAAAGTAAGAGAAAACAACTTAAACAAACTGTGAGGCCTTACACGCGTGACTGATCAAATTTTCCACGTCTCAAACTTGTCTCGAAAATGTTAAGGGCCTAATTGGTGGCTCAAAGGTTATTAGTATAACAATCGAGAGAGAAAATAATATAAGCAGATAGAATAAGAAAGGATCAAGAGAAAGAAACTCAATGAATATAATTTACTTACAGGAACCCATGTTCCAACTAATATCTCAGCTCCAGCAGCAGCAAGAGACTTTGCTATGGCCCAACCATATCCATTATCATCAGCTATACCAGCAATGAAAGCCCTTTTGCCTGCATGATTTCCCTTCAGTCAAACCAATCGAAAAGTTTCTGGCCAGAAATTATGCTTAGATGAACAAACGTTTTCCACCCGTTTATAAAATAGCTAGTAGGGAACCGATAACCGCGCAAAACAGGAAATTTAAATGACAAAACTGCAGAGATACTAACCTGTCAGATCAATCGGCAACCCAGAGGAAGCTTTAGTTTCATTGGACTCAGACATAGCCTTTGTGACAAAGGTAACGGGTTTCCCCAGAGTTGCTGCAAGACTCTGCTTTTTCAAAGGTGCAAGGTTCGATAAATGGCAAGCACTAGTAAGTCTATCCCATGATGCAGCTTTAGGATTAAAACCAAAACTGTTGGTTCCGGCCATAAGAACTTTAGGGGAAGCCGAAAGGCATGGCCTTGTTGCGGCAATTTGCATGCTTGAAGCTACTGTAGCCGCCATTGCCAGAACTTTCCTGGTTTTACAGCAAGAAGTAAAAAAGTGTTGGACTGGCGAAAAGGGAATATCCAAAACCACAACATTGCGAGAAGTCTATTAAATATAAATAAATAATGGAACTTTGACGAACATTCCATGATAAGTTTCAACAGATCGACCCAATATACAATCCATGTTGCATTTTCTCATCACGATAATAGAATCAAAACAAATTCCAGACTCAGATAAACCCAAACCTAACACATTTGAAACGGGAAACCCAAACAGAGAAAAGGAACCCTACAACATTTGCAGAACATCAAAGGAAGAAATGCAATCACGAAAGAGAAAGAGAACCTTCATAAAATCACGAAACCCATCTGCATTTTCCTATCAGACATCGATTACAATGCGAAAATCAGCGAACCCATGAGCATTTTCCCCATTAAACATCGATTACACCGAGAAGATCAACGAACCAAGATAACATTAGCGACAGTACGCTCATTCATCAAACAAACACAGTCACAGAGAGAGACCTGTAGAAGACGGAGAGAGCCAACTTGGAGAGCCAGATAGAGACAACAGGAATTAAGTGCTTGGGGAAGTGATTTGTACGAAGTGATTCGATGAGATCGAGGTGTCACCAGTGCTCTGAATTTGTTTTTTGGTTACACGAAGAGACTATGAATCAGGCCGGGTCGGGTCGGGCCAGACTGGGTCCAACCCACTAAGATGATGGGCTATGAGCATTATCAATCCATAATACAATCACTCGAAACTCGAAAGCATCAGCATTAGATCTCATGTTCCACAAATGTAAATCTTAAACAATTTATTAATATTCGACTTTTTCCGAAAATCATTTACGTAAAGATCTAAGCTAAACCAAAGTAAACCGGAACAAACAAAAACCAATTTAAACCGGTTAACACGTGCGTAAAGCCGGAGACAGAAAGACCAACACACCGAAAATATATTTGTAGGGATTGTGTTTCCTCTGCGAGAACTACGCGACGGCAGAAATGGCGACGATGGATTCTGATGTCCCGATGGTACCCGCCGGAGAAGACTCAAATACTGCCTCCGCTTCCTTGCCGTCTTCTTCAACCAAGAAACCCAAAAGATTCGAGATCAAGAAGTGGAACGCCGTCGCCCTCTGGGCCTGGGGTACGTTTCACCCGAAACCCTAAATCTCTTATCGCACGCTTCGATGGTTTTGGTTTCGTTTCCCGTCATGTGATATGGTTTAAACGGTGGGTGATGTGAAATCGGGGCTTGATTTGTGCAGATATCGTCGTGGATAACTGTGCGATCTGCAGGAATCATATCATGGATCTATGTGAGTTTGTGATTTCCCTTCGTATTTTTTACAATCTGTTGTTCTGATTTTATTTGATTGATTTTTGGAGGCTAGGGATTGAGAATTTTCGCGTCGTGTTGTTGTTCTGATCAGGCATCGAGTGCCAGGCGAATCAGGCAAGCGCGACGAGTGAAGAGTGTACTGTTGCTTGGGGTAAGATTATTCAAAATGTGGCAATTTGGATAACTTGCTAATGATGGAAGCTAGGTTCCGGGGTTGTCATCCGTCTTGGGATTTTTCCATTAGTTATCTTCTTTGCCTTGACTTTCTTCCAAATGTCTTTCCAATGAATTCAGTTTACATGGTTTGAGAGGTTGCTAAATTCACCACGAGTAAAGTAGTATGTTGATTCTAGTAATCGTTTGTTTTGGTCGAGTTCGAGCACGCTTTGTCGAGTTTAACCTGGCAATAAGATGATTGCTGAAGACATTAGTTTATGTATTTTCGGGATCTAATTTCATGCTCAGCTCTGTGTTTTTATGTTTGTTTTTGAAGCTGTGTGAACTTCTTGGTCTCATCACTAGGTGATTGTTCCTACTTCCTAGTTTAGTGATGCTTTTGATTAAAAAAAGTTTCCATGTCAAAAAATTCGCTCAGTGATGAGCGAATGTGTTTTTAATTCTTCTGACAATGACATGATTTCTCCTTTGTCATGTGTTGCCTCTTTCCTAATTAAAAGATACGAGAGCACGGCATCTGTTTGTTGCTATGGTTATTGCTGTTATTATCATTGCCTTCTCAAGGACTAAAGAATCCTCGTACAGTCATACTACAGTCATTCATATTGCTATGATCATTTTGTTTTTCTCCTTGCTAGGTTCAATTTTACTTTCTCCCCTTTGCTTAACATGGTCTTTACAGTGCTAATGATTCCATCTATTTTCATATATACAGGGGTTTGCAACCATGCTTTTCATTTTCACTGCATTAGCCGTTGGCTCAAGACCCGTCAAGTTTGCCCCTTGGGTACGTTTTACCTTCTCCATTTTCTGTTGGATTCCTCGTTTGCACAAAATGGATACTTTCTGGTTATGTTTGCCATGTTGCCCTTTTGTTACAGATAACAGTGAGTGGGAGTTTCAGAAGTACGGGCATTAGTCACCCAAACCACAAAGAAGGTATGGATCATTTGGTCCTGTCACAATGACCCGTTAGCTTTAAACTCATTTCTCAAATTTCTTTGCTCTTATGAACAAATCATTGTGCGGTTAGCAAGGTGCGTGAACTACCTAATTCAAGTATTGATTACATCTATCCAGGGATCTGGATTGGCATGATGAGTATAAATCGGCATTCAAATCTGGGTGATGATAATTGGGGACTGTGAATTCGAGACGACGTAAAAAGGTAAGCAGGCATGTCTGAGTCTGTCTTGCAGTTTTTAGGGCAATGGAAATGGAATGTATGGGTGTGGTTTGGAACACTAAGATCTGCAGCAAAAATAACATTGTTAAAACAAGTGGGACGTGAACTATGTTTTGACGAAGTTACACTCTCGGGGGCTTTGTCACAAAACGAAACTAGAGTCCTGCAATGAAACGAACAGAGAATATGAACATGATTGATCCCACTCTAACATCTCTTTGAATCTGTGTATAGGGTTTAGAGTTGGATTTAGTATTAGAATTTAGGGTTTAGGGTTTATCCAAGAGCGATCCAAATAATAATAATAACGACGATGACGACGACAAATAGTCTCATTAGGCAAAGTGAAATATGGGAGGCAAAGTTATGGAGCGAGGAAACAGTTCTGGAATGGGGAAACTGTGATATTGATTGAATGTGATGTTGGATTAGTAGTTTTAATAGAATTTAAATCCGTGGGATTTCAGTCGAATTTTTAAAAGTTCAACTGGTGATGATGTTCAAGAGTATTATTAATTTCACGAAAATATTGTGGAAAAATCATGGATTTCTTTTATGTTTGTATTTTTAAAACTAGAAAAAAAAACTTCTAAAATCCTAAATAACTCTAGGTTTCAATCGTTTTAAAACAATGGATTTCAATTTGATTTTTTAATTTAGATATTACAATTTTACAATCGAGCAACAATGGATTTTATTTGAATTAAAAATCTACTGTCACTAATTTCAGAAAGATGCTACGTTTAGAAATCAATGCAATGCAAATATTTTAATTTGCATATATATATATATATATGAATTAATTCCAGTTTCTTCACTTTATATAAATTTTAAATTTTGATATATAATGATTTATAAAAAAAAGGTGGAAATTTCTTTTCAAACAAAAATGATAAGAATAAACATTGAAGTGGAATTAGATATGAATGGTAGTGGAAAATCTCCAGGTTGTAATGCATTTATCATCTATATACACTTCCCTATATATTTGTGTAATTATTAGTAGGAACCCACTCTCCCCTCAAAAGTGCCTTTTGTTGGGGCTATTAAGCCGCACTATGTAATGTTACATATAAAGGGATATCATGTGTGTATATATACAAGATAAGCCTTACCCTAATGGGCATTATTAAAACGATGAATTAGTTAGTTATGCGCTAAATGGGCCTCTTTCCGTGAATCATGGCATTCCATTTAGGACCCTTTTTATATAATTCACGTCTTTGGACCCACCTTACATGCATTTATAAATTAATCTATTTGATAACTACCACGAAACATGATTGATCTTTAACGCCTATATGTATTTAACTTAAAATATATATTCCAATTTATCGAATAAGAAACAAAAAGATTATCAGAGCACGCGTTGGTGTCTTTATTTTTTGGTTGATTGGGGAATGAAATGATGAAGAATGATGGATGAAGGGGAGGTGGTTTAATTATTATATTAGGGCTTGATAGGCGCCTTCTTCTCCGCTCTCGAAACGAACAAAGACACGTACGTAGAAATAGAATACACCAAAATATTACAATCCAAAATTAACATAAAATAAAGAATAAATATTTATAAAAACATTTTTTAATCAAACCCTTTTGCGACCGACATAAGAATAATGACGTGTATATATATTTTTAAAAGCTAATTCTTAAAGCATAATAATAACGAGACCGCAACCCTAAATATTCAGTCCAACCAAAACAAAATAAAATCATATATATATACGTATATTGTACGTTTACATGGAGACATGAATATTACGGACATTTCCGAGTACAGTTGTATAAAAGAAAATCTTAGGTGGGAATTTCGTAATATTTTAAAAATTATAGATTTATACAATAAATTTAAATAATTAATGTTTATATTAAAAGAAATTTATGGATTTTTAAAATTTAAACTTTTAAAAAATGAGTTTGTGTATGACACATGTACTTTTGAGAGAAGCTAGTTTTCTTAAGCACTAAGGTCACACACTTGGTTTTGAGGTTTGTGATTTCGATTTTCGAGGCTGTATACCGAATAATCCTATTGTGTTCATATTTCGATTTAAATGTTATAGTTTTATTAAAATAAAATTAAATATGAAGTATAAAAACAAATATTATTATCAACGTTATAATTTTTAAAAATAAAAATCGAACCCAAAATCATTTAAACAAATTCGAAATAATATAATAATATATCATGTGTTCCGACCCGAAATATCTTATTGGGAGGCTTTCGTGTTTTCCGACGATGGGAAGGAATTGTCTCGATATTACGATTTTGTTGATGAATTACCACTTTTGCCCTTCACTTTTATATGTATTTAAAAAATCAAAATTGTTAATTTTGACCGACTTTGATAATGGATAATAAAAAATTAATTAAAACTATCACTATTCCAGAGTTTTTACTATTTTATGTTTTTTATCCACATTTCGAAAATCTCTCTCCACTCTCGATTTCGTCTTATAATACCAAATCTAGAGAGAATAATTTTTATAGTTATGAAATGAGATGGGTGAATATTTTGGATTTTATAAGTTATGATAATATATTATTAAATTAAAATTTATAGTATGGAACGAACATTATCTATTTTAAGTTAATTATAAAATAAAAAGAGAAAATAGATGGAGAAAAGGAACAAAATAAGGTTGAGAGAATCGATAAAGAGGTGGGCGAAGAAAGAGAGAGAGAGAGAGAGGCGTGTCTCCCAGCTGTTGTTGTGTCACTCTCTCTCTTCCCTCCTCTTCGTCTTCTTTTCAATTTTCAAACAAATTATCTTATTCAAAATAAATGTTGTTTTAAATTATTTAATATTTTTTTTAAAAAAAATCGTATATATCCTTATTTAATAATAAAAATAATATTATTATTAATAATTTATTAAAATTTAATAAGGATAAATTTGAAAACTATTATAAAAAAATATTTTAAAAACGTAGAAGGATAAATATTTTGAAAAATAGAAAATAACCTAAAACTACAAATATTTTGAAAGAGGGAGTACCACACAAAATAATAATAATAATAGCCAATTCTTCAATTTTTTACATTGAAAAAGATGGTTTTGAGATAAAAAACGCAACAACATTTTTCTTTACCTAAAAAATACAAAATCTCAAAATGACTGTTTCTGAAAATGAACCAATATGGTTTTGAAAGCTACGTCTTTGACAAATAAAGATTGTTTCTTTTGGAACGGTAATGGTGGTAAAGGGAATAACAGAAAAATAATAATAAAAAGAGATACATAAATATTACAATAAAAATAATTGTTTGCCTCATGGAAAACTACATTTTCAAATATTAACTATTTGGTTATAAAAATTTCCATGAGATTTGATTTTTATATGTAATTTTCAGAAAGTTGGTTCATTCTTTTTCAATCCTGTTTGAAATTTGCAAATTAGTTTTTATGATTTTATTTATACAAAGAAAAAACGGGAAAAGCGGTGGCATTTCCGTAAATAAAACCGAAACGCGACCCGAACGTGGCGCATATTTCGAATTTAAATGCCCCACACACTCTTCGTCTCTTCCCTTCTCTACTTCGTCCGTTTTTCTCCCATCACTCTCTCGTACATTCGCCGTCATGGGTTCCTTCACCGTCGCTCTCTGCTTCGCCGCTCTTCTCCTCCTCCATACGGCGGTGGCGGAGGTTATCGTGGAGGCCGCCGGAGCCAGTAGACGGACTTACATCGTCCGCATGAATCACCACGCGAAGCCCGAGTCTTTCTCCACTCACCATGACTGGTACTCTTCCCATCTCCAGTCTCTCTCTTCTTCCTCCGACAGTGGCGAATATTCTCTTCTCTACACTTACACCTCTGCCTTCCATGGCTTCGCCGCCGTTCTCAACCCGGATGAGGCCGAGGCCCTCCGTCGATCAGACCCGGTTCTCGATGTGTTCGAAGAGACTGTGTATTCGCTTCACACGACTCGGACTCCCGAGTTTCTGGGTCTGAACCCTGAGTTCGGGTCGTGGGTTGGATACAGTGCCCATGATCTCGACCAGGCATCTAATGGCGTTGTCATTGGGGTTCTGGATACCGGGGTATGGCCTGAATCTAGGAGTTTTGACGACACGGGCATGCCGGAGATCCCGGAAAAGTGGCGAGGGGAGTGTGAATCTGGTCCTGATTTCGATCCGAAATTGTGTAACAAGAAATTAATCGGAGCTCGGAGCTTCTCCAAAGGGTTTCAAATGGCTTCCGGAGGCGGATTCTCCAACAAACGCGAATCTGTATCACCACGTGACGTAGATGGTCATGGAACCCACACCTCCTCCACCGCTGCCGGATCCGCAGTGAGGAACGCGAGCTTCTTAGGGTACGCCACCGGGACGGCGCGTGGGATGGCGACTCGGGCGCGCGTGGCGACGTATAAGGTGTGCTGGAGCACTGGGTGCTTCGGATCCGACATCCTCGCCGGAATGGACCGCGCAATCCTCGACGGCGTCGACGTCCTCTCCCTCTCCCTCGGCGGCGGATCCGCTCCGTACTACAGAGACACCATCGCCATTGGAGCTTTTTCCGCCATGGAAAAGGGTATCTTTGTCTCTTGCTCCGCCGGGAACAGCGGACCCACCAAGGCCTCCATCGCTAACGTCGCACCGTGGATAATGACCGTCGGTGCCGGAACCCTAGACCGGGATTTCCCGGCTTACGCGGCCTTGGGTAACGGAGACAGATTCACCGGCGTCTCCCTCTACAGCGGCGAAGGCATGGGGACTAAACCCTTGGCTCTGGTCTACAACAAAGGTAACAGCAGCTCTAGCAATCTGTGTCTCCCTGGATCGCTTGACCCGGCCATCGTACGCGGCAAGATCGTGGTCTGCGACAGGGGAGTGAACGCTCGTGTGGAGAAAGGAGCCGTCGTGAGAGACGCCGGAGGAGCCGGAATGATACTGGCGAATACGGCGGCGGGGGGGGGGTTTTGACGACACGGGCATGCCGGAGATCCCGGAAAAGTGGCGAGGGGAGTGTGAATCTGGTCCTGATTTCGATCCGAAATTGTGTAACAAGAAATTAATCGGAGCTCGGAGCTTCTCCAAAGGGTTTCAAATGGCTTCCGGAGGCGGATTCTCCAACAAACGCGAATCTGTATCACCACGTGACGTAGATGGTCATGGAACCCACACCTCCTCCACCGCTGCCGGATCCGCAGTGAGGAACGCGAGCTTCTTAGGGTACGCCACCGGGACGGCGCGTGGGATGGCGACTCGGGCGCGCGTGGCGACGTATAAGGTGTGCTGGAGCACTGGGTGCTTCGGATCCGACATCCTCGCCGGAATGGACCGCGCAATCCTCGACGGCGTCGACGTCCTCTCCCTCTCCCTCGGCGGCGGATCCGCTCCGTACTACAGAGACACCATCGCCATTGGAGCTTTTTCCGCCATGGAAAAGGGTATCTTTGTCTCTTGCTCCGCCGGGAACAGCGGACCCACCAAGGCCTCCATCGCTAACGTCGCACCGTGGATAATGACCGTCGGTGCCGGAACCCTAGACCGGGATTTCCCGGCTTACGCGGCCTTGGGTAACGGAGACAGATTCACCGGCGTCTCCCTCTACAGCGGCGAAGGCATGGGGACTAAACCCTTGGCTCTGGTCTACAACAAAGGTAACAGCAGCTCTAGCAATCTGTGTCTCCCTGGATCGCTTGACCCGGCCATCGTACGCGGCAAGATCGTGGTCTGCGACAGGGGAGTGAACGCTCGTGTGGAGAAAGGAGCCGTCGTGAGAGACGCCGGAGGAGCCGGAATGATACTGGCGAATACGGCGGCGAGTGGTGAAGAGCTCGTCGCCGACAGCCATATGTTGCCAGCAATGGCGGTCGGGAGGAAGACCGGAGATCTGATAAGGGAGTACGTGAAGTCCGACAAGAATCCGACGGCGGTTCTGGTTTTCCGTGGGACGGTTCTAGGAGTTCGACCGTCGCCGGTTGTGGCGGCGTTCAGCTCGAGAGGACCAAACACAGTAACGCCACAGATCTTGAAGCCTGACGTAATCGGTCCTGGAGTCAACATCTTGGCTGGCTGGTCGGAGGCCGTTGGTCCCACCGGTCTCGAGAAGGACCCGAGGAGGACTCAATTCAACATCATGTCAGGTACACTCTCAATGGTCAGAATTCTTGCCGTTTTTTATCTGTTCCTTCCATTTAACCTACCCAACACATAATTTAAGTTCTGGGTTTACTTGTTCTCATGAAGTCAGCGAGATTTTCATATGATTTCTATGTTTTTAATCAAACACATGAAAAGGGTCTCATTGAATGTCTTCGTTATAGTTATATTTAATGCAAAGTTGGCAGATTTGAAACTATTAAATGTAGAATCTCTCGAATTTTAGGTTTCCAAGTTTTAGGACATGAAAAGGGTCTGATCAAATCTGTCCATAGTAATTGTACCTAATGTAAACTTGTAGATTTGAAACTCTTTTCACTATCCTCATCCTAGAATTCACGAATTTAGCTATACAAGTTGCCAAACATGGGAATCTCTGTTCTGAGATCCGCTAATACATTTTGTTGCGTATTTCAATGAAGGCACATCTATGTCATGCCCTCACATCAGTGGCTTAGCCGCTCTTCTGAAAGCTGCGCACCCTGAATGGAGCCCTAGCGCCATCAAGTCAGCACTCATGACCACCGCCTACAATGTCGACAATACCAACTTGCCTCTTCGCGATGCCGCTGATAACAGCCTCTCGAACCCGTGGACTCACGGTTCGGGTCATGTGGACCCTCAGAAGGCAATGTCTCCAGGTCTGGTTTATGACATCTCGACCGAGGAATACATAAGATTCTTGTGTTCATTGGATTACACCGTCGATCACATACAGGCGATCGTCAAAAGACCAAGCGTCAACTGCTCGAGGAAATTCTCTGACCCTGGTCAGCTGAACTACCCGAGTTTCTCGGTTTTATTTGGGGACAAAAGGGTCGCTCGGTACACGAGGGAACTGACCAATGTTGGTACGCCCGGTTCGATTTACAAGGTGGCGGTTGATGGGCCGGCTAGTGTTGCGGTAACGGTTAAACCCACGAGGCTTGTTTTCGGGGCAGTGGGCGAGAAGAAAAGGTATACGGTCACGTTCTCGGCCAAGAGGGGAATGAGTTTGGCCACGAGTTCTGAGTTCGGATCAATCACTTGGAGCAACTCAGAGCATTCAGTGAGGAGTCCTGTCGTGTTCTCCTGGACACGGTTGTGAGGAGGAAACACACTTTCCCCATCGTTTGTGTTTGGTCAGTTTGTTTATCCCTCTGGGCTTCCGTTCTGTGATGTTCGGTTATATAACTAACCAATCTGCAGTATTCATCTTCGGTAGGAGAGCCCTTGTTAAGAAGTTGTCGGTGTCTAGTTCGGTTCGGTTCGGTTTGAAGGGTTCCAAGAAGTTTGGAGAAGGTACAAGAACAGAACACTTGTTTCTGTCAGAAAGAGAATCTGATATTGGCTTTGGGATTTTTCCAGATACTCTAATGTAATAGTAGCGAACAAGTAAGTAAGCAAACACTTAATCCGCAACGTTTATTGTAAGCTTTCGAACCTTTCTGGGAAGTTTTAAAGCAGTGTCTTCCATCGCTACTTCAAGTTTTTTGTTTAGTTTTAGTCCGTACGATTTGCGCAATTATCATTTACGAATCACATTCATTAGAACGTGAATGGAAAAAAATAAAATAAATGAATATAATATTTTAAAATTCGAAATTCAAGTAAAAAAAAAAAAGGAATCGCCCTGTAATATCCATCACTATTTAAAATGCAACACGTAAACCACAAAAACTTAATTTTAGAACAAATCATAAGTGAAAGGTAAAGGTCATTCTACAATTTGTTTTCTCTTAGGGTTTGAAATTGACTTCTGCAATTTTCCCAATATTCTTACTTTTTACGTATTTGGTCCTAAAGAGTGTTCAATGTCGTGTAAAGAGAAAATAGTTATTTTTATTTTTATTAATATTTTGGTTATTCTTATATTGGATTTAGTTTCGATATTCGGGTCCAGTTAATTTTATTTTAGAAAAATTATATCCAATCGACATTAGATTGGATTCCGTTCCTTCGATGAGGAGATAAAACATGAAATTAAAAAATGCGTTACAAAACAATCCTATCTTTGTACAAGTAATTGATCTCCCACACGAGTTTGCATATATGACTTTAACTCGCATATTCTTCCCGCAACATTATAATAGATATATATACGCTGTAGAAAAGTTTAAAATTAAATATTTATCAATTCTATAATTTGTTTGCGTGTGCCTTTTATATATTTGACACATATATGATAATATATTATTCGATTTGTGCGATTCGATTATGAGATATCCTTTTCTGATATATATATATATATATATATATTTAGTCGTTGTGCAAAAGAGTCAAACGAAGCCAAAACTTTTGAAAGAACGGCCTATGTTATGACTTTGGACATTTCTTGTTCCTTTGATCTTCTTCTTGACATCTACCAATAATTAGAAAAGCGGCCATATATATATATATTATATATATATATATGTTTGTGTGTGTGTGTCTATATAAACACATCATGTGGCAGCGAACAATACTTCCATTTTGTTCTACAGTATAAAAAAAAATACTTTGACAACTAAAAGATATATACAAACACACACACCTTTTGGGTTTATTATATGGAAACGAAGTACAATAATTTCAAGAAGAGTAGTAGTGGCAAAATGGTAATAATGAAGCCTGTAGTGAGTAAGTTGTATTGCTCGGCGGCGGAGGCGGGGATGCTGGTACGGCGGCGGCCGCATGCAGTCAACGGCGGAGGATTTGTAGTCACCGACTGTAAACAAAACGTCGTATTCAGAATCGATGGCTGCGGAGTTCTCGGTGCGAGAGGAGAGTTGGTTCTAAGAGACGGCGATGGAGATGAGTTGCTTCTCATTCAGAGAAAGGTGCCTTCTTTCTTATGCAATACATACCATTTTTACTTCAAATAATTATGGACCAATTATTCAATTGAATATATATATATATGGGTATGTAATGTATAGATATTCTAAATCCACCCTATGTGTATAGATATTCTTAATGATCTTTTCTTGGCTGGTCTTTTCAAAGGGAGGGATAGTGCAGGCTCTGAGCATTCATAACAAATGGAGAGGCTATTCCTACAACTTCCAAGGCTACCAAAAACCGGTTTTCACTTTGAGAGATCCCAAAACCTCTTGCTTCCCCAAAACTGGTTCAATCCGGATCTCGATTGAGCCCTGTTCAACCGACAACTGCTTCTTCGAGATCCGAGGCTATTTCCCCGACCGATCTTGCAGCATCATCGATTCCGCTGGGAACACCATCGCTCAGGTAAAATTTCTGTGGGATACCCTTTATTGGAGTTAAAACCGGGTTGCCCCTCTATAAACCGGTTCGTCTTTGCAGATTGGAGTTTCTGAGGAAGTAAAAGAACTGAAGGCGAGTGGAGATTTTTACCACGTCATTATCAAACCGGGGGTTGATAAAGCTTTCATTTTCGGAGTCATTGCGGTTCTTGATTATATCTATGGTGAATCTACCAGGTGCTAACCGGGGTTAACCGGTTTCCGGTGCATGAGTAAAGGACTCGCACCACGTTGTTTGTAGTGTTCAGTTGTAATGATTTGCAAGTTACTGTACTATTGTATTTGTGTTACGATTTGGTATGTTATATATTTTGGGAAAACGGAACGAACCAAACTTCAACCGAACCCAAAAAACCCGAGCAGAGACCAAAATTTCCTCTTGGAAAATGATTTAAAAAATGAATGTAACCGGAATCGAACCAGACCGGATATGGGTATTTGGTTTGGATTTCATATATTATTTCCTTTGACGAGGATTAACCCAAAATTTAACCGAACCATTCCAGTAGAAAGATTGACATAAGCCATTGGTAGAGGAGCTACTGACCGCTTTGTCGGAATCCGAATAAACAGCAAGCAAACGATTCAAGAAACTGAAAAGGACTCATCAAAGATTAAGTTTGGCAGATCCTCCCTGTGGAATAACAGATAGAAAAATGTGAATAAAACACGAGTTTTAACGACTGATCAAACCATAATAACAGATTTTTCGTTTAACGTTAAAAAGACAGACTGATAGAGAGAAATACTTGCCAGCCACTTATCAGTCTCGCTCACTGATGGCCGTCAAGTGCTCATCGATCTCCTCAGTTGTCAACGCTCGGAAGGCGGGACTATCCGCTCTCACTACTCCCACCTACAAACCAATAACGAGGGTCGGATTTGAATTCATGATGTATAGGATAAGAACTACTTAGAATGATCTTCATGGAAATGATTCTGCAAGATTTCATAAGTCCACTGCTTCCGTTAACCAAATGCAAAAAAGCCTCTGCAAATTCCTCAAACGATGAATTCTTTTCAGGGCAAACACAATAAATATCTAAAAGGGATTTAGGAAAAAAAAAAGGAGCCGGGATTCGATACCTCAATCTCAGTAGCCTTGAAGTCCTCTTGAAGAACCGATTGCAGAGCGGATATAGCAGTCTAGTACACGAACAGAGAGTCAGAGTTGCGGAATTACAAGCTACTTTCTTAATGCACAATTGTTTTTTTTTTAAGACCATTTTGAGTTTTCCCATTCCATGATATAATATGACAGGCGGTCAACTAACAAACTGTTATGCATATCGTCATCCAAATGTACCCAATGAGTGATCACCCGTCAAGAATAACCGATACCATTTAGAACAATAGAGAACGAGATAAATAAAAGAGCGGGCCATGAGGTACCTGCACTGTCTCGTTGTATGTAAAAGTGGGATTGTCTTTCATTTTCTTCTCCAAGAAATTGATTGCCTCTTGTTCCTTCACACCAGCACTAGTTGCCTGTCATAATGTATCTTCTTAATTAGTTGCTGACAAGTATATAAAGGACATCTCATTCTCAGATTCCAAAGGACATAGTCCATCTAAGCCTGGACAATTTGTGAGGAAAATAAGCCCAAAATGGCCACACTAAGACATTTTATTTAAGCATATACTGAGACAGACAGATCATCACTGATACCTGTTCTCTAAATCAACACAGTAATTACCCAAACAAGATAAATTTGCAACTGAAATGCAGAAGTCAAAACTCAGCAG